TTAAAGAAGTCAAACAGTGAGTACTGCAAGTATGTGTATGCATTCGCACATGTGCGATATGTGTCGACTCACCTGTAGGGTTTTTAATGTGAGACTTTGTCACCCGGCTTCGTGCATTTCTCCTGTTTGCATGAAGTGAACAGAGCAAAAGATCGATACGTGTATATTTGTATTTACCTGCATACATATATCAGTGCACTGTTGCAGTTCCATTTCCATCAGTACTTAAAACATACATATCTACCCGTTCGATTTAAGCAGCTTAATTAACTTGAGCAATGTCGATTATATGCAACGGGGTGAAATTATATTTTGTATGTACAGCACCAGGGCATAAATTTAAACCCACCCGTGTGCTGCGCGCCCCGATGGCTCAAGCTCATCAGTAGATTTTATTCAGCCATCGGGTTTAGGTTTATGTTGTACAGAATTTAACTGGCTTTCCACCGGTACTACACTTGGTTATGAAAAAACTACCGGGTATGCGTAATTAATCATACCAGAAAAAAAACACAAAAAAATTAGCTGCAAAAGTTTAAACCCGCTCCGTATTAAAAATTACTTCATAACGAAGGGGGGTTAAGGCAAGGGTTTAGCAATTATTTACATTCATCCCAGGTACTCTACTTGCAGAAAAACCTAAAAAATTTTAAAAAATCGGGAGTTGACCATTGCGATAACAAATTGTAAATCTCCGCGAGCGAGACCTGGGGCACATAAAAATTAGTGCTATTACCAAATTTAACAAAAATTCAATTAAAACAATGATTAGGAAATATAAAAATATAACTACTGTACCAAGTAATCCTAAATCGGGACGGCCAACAGTCAAATCTAAGCGAATTGACTGAAATATTGTTCCAAAGGCAATCCAAAATCGTGGGATGGCACTCCAAAATTTGACCTCCGAGGTCAAGGGGCATCTTGAGATCCAAATTAGCCTATGAATTGTGAAGAGGAGACCCCATGAACCAAGTCTAAGGCGACGATGACCTCGAAAAAAAATGCGCCTACCATTGAAAAGCTTAACCCGAGACCTGAAATGGGCCAATGAGCATTCTGAATAAACCACCCAAAACTTGACTAAGGTATCATGGTCGGAAAAAATAAAACTTGGTATTTTGGTGAATTAAGGGGTGAATTATGTTTGGGGGAGACCTGGGGAATGTCTTAAAAAGCAATGACTTGTACGCAACATACAATTCATTCATTTTCCAGATTCAAGACATTTCAGAATGCTCATTTGCCCATTTCAGGTCTCGGGTTAAGCTTTTCAATGGAAGGCATATTTTTTTTCGAGGTCATCGTCGCCTTAGACTTGGTTCATGGGGTCTCCTCTTCACAATTCATGGGCTAATTTGGATCTCACAATGCCCCTTGACCTCGGAGGTCAAATTTTGGAGTTCCATCCCACGATTTTGGATTGCCTTTGGAACAATATTTCAGTCAATTCGCTTGGATTTGATTGTTGGCCGTCCCGATTTAGGATTACTTGGTACAGTAGCTATATTTTTCTATTTCCTAATCATTGTTTTAATTGGATTTTTGTTAAATTTGGTAATAGCACTAATTTTTGTGTGCCCCAGTTCTCACTCGCGGAGATTTACAATAATTTGTTACCGCAATGGTCAACTCCCGATTGTTTCCCAGTTTTTAGTTTTTTCTGTAAGTAGAGTACCTAGGATGAATGTAAATAATTGCTAAACCCTTGCCTTAACCCCCGTTCGTTATGAAGTAATTTTTAATACGGAGCGGGTTTAAACTTTTGCAGCAAATTTTTTTGTGTTTTTTTCTGGTATGATTAATTACGCATACCCGGTAGTTTTTTCATAACCAAGTGTAGTACCGTTGGAAAGCCAGTTAAATTCTGTACAACATAAACCTAAACCCGATGGCTGAATAAAATCTACTGATAAGCTTGAGCCATCGGGGCGCGCAGCATACGGGTGGGTTTAAATTTATGCTCTGGTGCTGTACATATGCAACTCTGGAGTTTATACTTCACATTGGAATAATCGATCCGTGCCATTATCTCACTTATGTAAGTAGTTCGGAGTTAAGTATTTTGTAAAATTGGTTATATGGGTACGTTCTTATATAATGCATAAATATGTAAATAGCTCAAAGTTGGTTGCTGACATAAAAAGCGACTTGGTGCAGACAACAAGTGATGGAATTTTTCAATTGAATTAGACAATGTGCATATATGTAAAACTTAAATGCATACACTGGCCCTGACGTAATGATACATCTACAGCGCGCTCATCATCCCAATTAAGAGTCTATCTGACAGAAGTGATAAATAACAAGCTCTACGTGCAATACATAAGTGTGTTTATTAATAATGCGTTTATAATACCAATTTATCGTTGTATTAACATAACATTTTCCAATTTCTATCGACACTAATATTTATACAATGATTGCGTTGCACCGTTGTCAAAAATTTGCATACATAATTTAATTCAATGGCTACAATTCTAAATACTACTCATTTTTATTTGTGTATGAATACAATAAGTATTCACACACAAATACATGTACACATATATCCATAGTAAGTCTAATTTTGTGTACGTATATATGTGTTGTATTTTCACCATTTCAATTTCGCTATATCCTTTAATATATTTCCACCATTACAAAGCACATATATCACTGATCACGTATTACGATGTAGAAATAGGAGGGATGTGTAGGGAACTATTTACTAGTATTTACCTGAAGTGCCAAGAAGATGATGAATTAAAAAAATATTTAATATTGTTTAATTCAGAAAATTTCAGATTTTTTATCACCTCTCGTTTAAAGAGAAAAGAAGAAACAAGAATTCTACATAGATTAAAAAATTGTGATATAAAATTGCGCGAGATAATAGGTGATAAACCATAGTTTATTTATAAATTGGGGTACCCAGTTTCCGTGCTACAGAACTATTGCTACACTCCAACCCACAATGGGGCCGCCTTATGGTAGGAAATATCAGAAATTATTTTATGACTTTTTTTGAGCTATTTATGCGTATGAGGTAGTTTGGGGACGGATGACACAGATTATATGACTGTAGTGCGACCACACCCCCTGGGGGAGGAGTTATCTCCATTTGAAGGGGTGTGGCTTTGAAAACTTGCATTCGATAGATCTTTGAAAGCTCACCCAAATTCATATAAGTTACACCAATGTACGACGCTCCAGAGAAAAGTTATCGGCCTCCAAACATCGAAATTTTGCATTCTGCGCCAACTTTGCGCCCTCGTGGCGCAGTGCGCGACCTCATTCATGAGTTCGTAGCTATCTCAAACGACGCTACCTATGTTGGGCTCTCACCCCAAGAAAGTCGCCAGGTGATTACACGCCCCGTTTGGCCGCAGGAATTTTTTGAAAATCGTCATAAATATAGCCAAAATAGCCTAAATCTGCACACTCAAAAATATTTCGTTGTATTTATTAACCAAAATTCGAACGTTTACAATTTTTCTGCTGGACCTCATCCTCAAATCTCTCACCCTTCAGCCATATACCGGGCTTCACTAGGTTTAATGCTAGCAGCAGGGAAGTAATATACATTACGATTTTTAAATAAATTTTCACAAATATTTTTTAGTGTGCAGATTTAGGCTATTTTGGCTATATTTATGACGATTTTCAAAAAATTCCTGCGGCCAAACGGGGCGTGTAATCACCTGGCGACTTTCTTGGGGTGAGAGCCCAACATAGGTAGCGTCGTTTGAGATAGCTACGAACTCATGAATGAGGTCGCGCACTGCGCCACGAGGGCGCAAAGTTGGCGCAGAATGCAAAATTTCGATGTTTGGAGGCCGATAACTTTTCTCTGGAGCGTCGTACATTGGTGTAACTTATATGAATTTGGGTGAGCTTTCAAAGATCTATCGAATGCAATAGTTTTCAAAGCCACACCCCTTCAAATGGAGATAACTCCTCCCCCAGGGGGTGTGGTCGCACTACAGTCATATAATCTGTGTCATCCGTCCCCAAACTACCTCATACGCATAAATAGCTCAAAAAAAGTCATAAAATAATTTCTGATATTTCCTACCATAAGGCGGCCCCATTGTGCAACCGCTAAAACATGGACACTTCGCATTTTTTCCCTTCACAATATTTATCAGTTTCTTTCGCCTTTAAGTATTTTTATGCCTAGTAGTATTTTCGCCAATTTTCATGGAAATTAGTCCAGGCACAGAGGAGCACGTGAAAATCAGGTAGGCACTAAAACGAGGAGAGTTTTTAGCAAATCGGTTACATTAGGCAATAAAATCATGAGGATATTTGTGATATTTTAATCGATATTTGATGCAAGTTAACTCTTTCATTAAACAAAAATGCTATTTGCACATGTCTTATCGATATCGGTCGGAGTGTATTTTGCTAGATCACGTTTACAAAGGTCGACTTGAGTACATAGTCCCAATGTAGATTTAGATGTTTATACATACATATGAATGCCATTATTATTTATTTATAGTATAAGATATGTATAGGCACATGAAATAATCCTGAATTCGGTTAGCAATTGAGGTGGTTCCACAGTTAAATGTACCTCACATTCATAAATAAATACACAGAGCAAAATTATTACTATTGGGCTTGGTAATTTCACTTCAATCGGCTCACTTTTTCCTGTAGTTCGGGGCTTGCAAGTCTTGATGCCTTTGCATTGTAATGTTTACTGTATGTGTTTGGTTATAGGCAGACTAATCATCCATATTCTATGTATGCATAAGCACCTTACTAGTTGCAACACTATGTACTATACATACTTCTACCAAACGTCATCGCATTTATCGATCGACAATGGCAAGTCAAATTTAGCTCTCATGAAGACAGTGCGTTGAATGATCGGTCGGCACTGATTATACTCACAACCAAACCGTTCATTGCACAGCATTTTGCATGAATCGACGTTCAGAAATAAATTCAAGCATTGTTCTCTTTTTTTACACAAACGTCTCGTTGCCGGGGCGACGAGGTTAATGATGTCGAATTGACAGTTGATATTTATTGTGAATTGATTCAGATAAAGAAACACACATTTCCAAAGAATTCAATGTAAGATGTATTATTTAGAAATATATCAGTATTCGTTATGTAGTAGCATTGGATACCAGTGTCATCAGTTTTAAGCTAATAGCACCGAAGACTTATTTCAGAAGCGAAAAACTGGCAATATTAGATATTTAAATAACAACAATAGTCTAGCCATAACATAATTAACCATTGTTACAGGGCCTGCTGCTTGTTAGCTAAATAAATGGTACATAGAAAAATACCTGCGTCTAATTTAATGCTGAATGGAGACATCGGTCTAGCTTGTACATGTCTATCATAATCATAAATGTAACATGCCGTGCAATTATAACGAAAATTTTGCAGTAACTTTTTCTAGAATCATTTTTGCGATGGCAAGACTTGATGTTGCTCCGGGTGAAGGAGCATTGCGGACCTAAGACCAAAAATTGGCGTACAAAACTAATAAAAATATACATGACATCAAAAATAAACAGCTTTATCCTTACGTGGAGTACTCGGTCACTTAGCTCGCCTTTTCCTGAATCGAATACGAAGTCCTCCACCAAATTTCCGGCTTCATCCATGGCCTGTGCTCTCACTCCAGCAGGTCCTCTGTAGGTTTGCATGCAAAGAAAAAATGTTCATAGAGTAATAACTGCACATCTATACTTTGAACTATAAAAATGATACAAGACCTCAAAATTTGTTTCAAACAACGCAATTTAATATTGGCCCAATTGTCATGATGAAGAATAATGATAAGCTGCAAGATTATTTGACACTGTATCACTCTATAAGGGACCCTAACGTTTCTAAACGTCAAGCAATCGTGGATAAGGTGATATAAGGTAATTTTTTCCATTTCATAATAACGTACTTTTTTAAAGGATTTTACTGTGAAATGCATATTCTTGTATGGTTTGTTGGTGCTATGTCATGGTGTATTGTATTTTTGCAAGACTAATTGCGGTACTCTGCACTTACGCCTACATTGTTCCTTTCTAAACTCAAACTGAAGGTTGTCAATCAGCTCAGGATCCGTCAGTGTGGTGTAACAAAGTAAATAAAATGAACCTGACGCTTCATGTCACTGCAAATTCGCCTGACTGTGCCATTCACTACAAGAAATTAAATCAAACAAAATTTATTTTGTGCCATCAAACCGGGCAAGCTTAGCTCGTTCTAATAAAACCCCCTTTGACGTGTCCTTGGTCATATGGTGATCCTGCATAAAGTACGGAAAGGATGCTACGTTTATGAGGGTACGCTCCTTTACACTATATAATTTTATTTTATTAAGTATTTAACTACAAAGTACATACACAGCATGGAGAAGCACCGCACAAACCACCAAAGTTTGTCGCCTTGCTCGCAAGGTTTCATTTGCACAGTTTCCTCGTTTCTCGTTTAATTTGACGACCCAGACCGTATGTTGTTATTTTACTTTTGCTTCCCCGTCTTGTTTGCTCTGTTCATCGACGAGGAACATTGTAATGGAAATCAACATCACTATCCAACCATCGTAATTTTGATCATGGACATCTACGGCCCTCATCACGAAATTGTTCTAGATTCCAGACCACTCCCAAAACTCTCTAGATGCACAACCAAAGGAAACTTGGATCAGTCTTGAAACTAGTTAAATGATACTGTCGCGTGTGCTCGTATAAATAGGACACGCCGCCGCATTTTCCGACTGCTGACTGGCAACAACGCAGCAGCTACATACATATTCGAAGCACAATTATTGTTCTTTCAAACACGAGGACACAATTACCAACTCAGGGACTACTTTCACCCCAGGAACGCAGTGAATGGAAAATATGAACGTATTCTGAAACTATGCGTGTGTTGCACTGGTATAAAAAATTGATCTAATTCATGCCAACTTATTTAATAAATTCATACATTTTTACAAAGTTTTTTTTAACCAGAAACAAACTTGTAAATTTTAAAATGCTAGATTATTGGAGATGAATGTATGTATTTATGAATCGTGATGTAAATTCCGCTGTATATTCGTTCTGGTAAAATAATTGTAATTATTTGCCACATTGAAGGAAAGTATCAGAAGCAGAGTATTATCCTTACTCTGTGTCAGACTTGATACTTTCTTGTCCTTGCAGTTTTACGATAGAATAATCATCAACAAATATGAACTTCCGCCGTGTAATATTTGTATTATGTAATATGTAGAAAGATTAAAAAATAATAGATTCTTACCAATAAACGGTCAAAATAATTATAGCAAATAACATCGTCGTGGCCATGATATAACACCCATGTAAGTATTCACTCGATTTTTGTTTCAATTTTTCTTAAACACACGCTGTCAGGAAGTTCAACCAGTGAACGTATTAACGGAAATATGTCATGTGTTCATGTGGAATTTTCGATCTCTGACCCAGTAAATATGTACTATCCCAGTTTCAGAAAAAGATTACCGAATGACTTTACTGTAATGTCATCTATCTCTGAATTGCACCCTGGAAATATATCTATATCTAAGCTTGAAGTCGAGGATAAGCCAACTGCCAATTGCAAGGAAAGTGTACAAGATCCAAAAGTTTAGCAGTAATAAAAGCGTGGCAAGACAACACTGACTACGTGCACGACCTTCGTTGTCGTCGTCCAACGTAATGGAAGACACATTAAAATAAGGACATTTGTACAGTGAAAAGTAAAATGCTGTGAGCGTATCCCACCACCACTGACGGCCATACTGTTAAAATGACAGCACAATGCACGCACATTTGCCATCGCGTAGAAAATGACCATCCAACTGCTTTTACTTTTACTTCTTTCTTACAAAAGCCATTGCCATATTGTCGTTTAATTTACTGCCACCATACCATCACCACTCCAGGTTGGAATAATAGTGGTATTGTTTTTCTTTCCCCTGCGCCACTCGAAAAGAAAACTTTGGGCAGTAGCGTTAATGGCTCTGTTACACAAACTTTCCAAGTAGGTGGTAGTTCCGTTTTTATGTGTCGTGGTGGTGTGGTGCAAGGCAGGTTCGTTGGTTGGTATGTAAGGAAAAGCATAACCGACCACAAATTTGCAACACCAACACTAACCAAATTAGAATCAAAGAGAAACACGTTAGCATTATTAGTTCCAAAGCGCATTTCTATGCAAGTTATCAACTAAGTATTCACGAGTGAGTGGTATCACTTATGTATTCACTTGTAACAGAAAGTCGCTTAACTTGCAATGCGACATTAATTCCGCGATATGTGCTTGATGCCTATTAGTGCACGATGTCTTTATTACAGACTGTCCAAAGCTAATAGCTGTCCAGCATACTATACGATGGATAAGGATACAATATAGCTTGGCAATCATAAAACTACTGCCAATTAACTACTTGATAATGTTGTTCGAACATAACTCGTGCTATAAATGATAATCATTTAAACTGAATTCCTTTATTTTCCTTCCTCTAAATTAGTCATATACTGTGTTCAAGTAATTGTAGCACGATTTAACCATAAAATTTTTTAGTAATGCTTCCAACTTACAACCAGAGAAAAAAAGCTACACAACACGAGAATGATACGTAGATACGAGTCAATAATTTAGAGCTGAACCTGCAGCAATAATAATACTAGTTTCCAGTTTCAACTCAGTGCTTTAAATCTACCTTTACATCAAGTCATTCGTCCAACAAACGCACACAATAAACCAGTAACTACATAGATAATCCTTTAATCATGGAAATTTACTCGTTTCTTTCATTCCTTTGCAAACTTCGTTATAATCATAATCACCTCGAGACTCGAGCCTAACCAACAACTGTCCATGTTTTAACGCGATGGATTATAAGTGACCAGGATTTTGATCAGAATATTAATGTTCATTAAGAAAAACTGACTCCCACCTAATGCTCAGAGGAAGCAGTTCAGCATTGTAAATTGAAATATGTCAAAACCAGACTGACTGATTGCCTTGGGTTGTATTTTTTACGTTGTTCACAGCCGGCTGGTTTTCAACTCTTGTTATTACAAACTCAATTCCTAAACCCTATACCAACAGAATATCCATCTACATACACCATTTGGCAGTCACCCGTGCCACATTAGTATTCAGTTTGTGGTACCGTCAACCATCATTTAAAGTGAGACGATCTGTTTGATTAAAATATCCACCGTTTTTTTAATTGATCATTTTTTCCGGAAGGAAATACCCCTGAACATTTGAACATGGGTTCTCCAACAGTCAAACAAGGAGCAGATTGTCAATACCTGACAGACAATAACTGCATGCATACCAGAAAGTGCAAGGATGAGGGATACGGTGTGCGGACGGACATATGGTGGTTACACTTCTTCTCCTTCGTTATTAGGAGCGAGTATCCGTACATATGCGGTGTCTGCATAAAACAACATAATTTTGTGGGGTGGCAGAACCATTAGAATTTACGTCGTCCTGTATTAAACCACCACCTTTCTTTCTCAAAGAGCAGTTGTCGTACGCTAATGGAAGGAGCTCGAGTCTGAGGAAATAAAAGCCGGTTGGACTGAATGGGAGCAGAGCGGAGTGTGTGAAGACTTGGAGCGAGACGAAAGCGCCGTCTTTTCTTCTTTCTCCACAGCTTGCTTTCTTTATTCTTTCAAAATATTGATTAAGTCAGCTCTCTGCTCGCCGCTTGTTGGTTCCGCCACCACCACCGCCGCACCAACTTCACACAATAACCAACATGAGGAAGGCATAAAAACGGCAAAAACACTCAACTTCACAACTAGTTTCAACACAACACACGTAATCTCCAAACTAATGAAATATTTCGTTACACTACTTTTTATCGGGAAATGGTGCTTTCATATGTCTTGCCAACTTGTGCATTAACGAGTTGTCTTATTTCTTGGCAATAGGAACACACAGGACCGATACCGTTTTGAGCAATTTAAATTTAAACTATGAACAGATGAACTGGGAAGGACGTTGGACCAAATAATATCTTTTTTATTTATTCACCCAGAAAATTATAAAGATAAAATTGCAATTAAGGCTAAAAAAATGTGACTATCAAGTATGTACGTTTAGTCTATTTTCTTGGTTACTGCACATCGAGACTAATTGATAGTGCTGTTATTTTGAAGTTCATTTCACAGGGTTTTCCCCATTTAAGAAAGCACTAGTCATTCCGTGAAATTTCTGTATGGACCTAATTTCATGCTATTGCTGTATTTTTAAGATTTAGAAATTGCAAAAAAGGACCATTGTTTTGTACTCACCTATTTGTACGATATTTTAAAAATAATCGTGGATGTATAAACTCTAATCAGCATTACAGCGACATACACAAAGTAACGAATTTGTTCTATGCTTTAAATGGCATAGCCCTTATTTGCATAATGTTAACAAGCTCAATCAACTCGTCGTCAGATTCGGGTTTACTGTTTCTACAATTCTAGGAAACTTTCAAATCCCAAGACAAGTTGATATAATGGATTGAAGCCGTATTGATTGTTGGCAAATAAAGTTTAATTAGCAAAGTGCACCCTCAAGGGCAATGTTAGTAATGATCAAACAATTTATAAGAAAAGTATTTGCAAAAACAAACAACTTGAATACACGACTACTAAAAGCTGGCAAAACACAGATAACTAATACTCACGATAAAATAAATCAAATCAGTGACGGATTTAACTCGCAAGAAAAGAAACCATTACCGTATTCACAGCTTAATTCACCGCTTATGAATACAAACTTCGCAATAATTACGAGTGAAAGTAATACAACAGTAATAATAATTCTGATATTTGTATCGATATAATTTGTACAGAACTACTAAACGAAAATAATTAGTTTTTAAGGGAAGATCTTCGCATAATTCGAGCTTGGTCGTAGCAATCCAAAATAATATTCGTGGGGCAAAGTAGCAGAGGAAGAAATCGATTTCATCTAATCTACAGAGTGATGTTAACCCATAAACTCTCGACATTTGCAATTCAAACTGCTTCTCAACGATGAGTCAATCTTTCCAAGAACCAATATTGGCCAAGAACAGAGGGATATACAGAGCTCGCTTAGGTACTTCAATTAGATAGAACCATGCGGAATATTTAACCCCGGATCATAAGGACATGAAATGTCATTTAGGACATTTGTGGGGTGGAACCATGTGGATTGGTAATGGCTGACCACTGGCTATTAAATAATGAGTACCACCGCATCAAATGTGGTATCCTTACAAGAGTAAAACTCCATTCCTATCTACCGACATGTTCAATATATATTTGTTTGCTGAGTTTTCCACATGAGGTTTTTTGATACATTTTTTTTTTTACTTTCCAGCCATATGAACGCGTTGGAAAAAATAAAACTTCAATTCGCAAGCGAGGTTCGTTGGATAATTTGATTTTGGACAATCCATGTTAATAACTAAAAAGCGAAATGTTTATGAAATTAAAATGTCTCACAATTCAACCTTTCGAACTTACCTTGTTATATCTTGTGGACTAATGTCGGGAATATATTCTTGGAGAGCTCCAAGCTGAAGATTGGGCATAGCAGAGCGAAGCATTTCCCCTAATCCGAAGCCAATGTATTTCAGTGCAAGCTTTTGAAATCCTGGATACCGAATGGCATCCCAGACATCTCTGACATCAACATCTCTCCAACGGTATCCTTCCCTCTTCCTTAAAATATAAGTATGATTTTAAATCAACTTGAAAAAAATAATAAAATTATATAAAAATCAAATTAAAAATGAAAATAATTTAAGTAATTAGTTAAAGTAAACGAACAAGGCGAGCACAGCATTGGGTCCCAGCCAGACACTACCATCCATCCGTGGAGTAAAGTGGACTCCTAATATACATACACCACAAAAGCGATTAGGTACGTTCCCCAGGATATGTATTTATCATCCAAAACAACTAGAAAAATTTGCCCAAGGATGGAAATTGCAAATATCAATTAATCTTTTCAGTCACAAATACTCGAAAGAGTTTATATGGGTCATGGATGCTAAGACCTCTACATCCATGGCTAAGACTAAAGATCTAAATATGTATGAATGTATCTAGTTTTTTTATTGTAGACTTTCCGACTAAAGACAAGAATCAAGCGTAGACCGCTTTGTAAGCTTTTACACAGTTAAACATCTTCTCGAGCCTAAATATAAATCATAAAACTCGTTATGAAAATATTTAACATCATTACCAACAAACTGTGCATATTCTCCAAGACGGTTCTCATAAGTATACTTTGAGTTTTTTTGCGTGGGGGGGAAAACTAACTTTGTTCTTAAAAATCGAAAATTGTCAATTTCCACCTTGAGTAAATTTCCTATCCTTGAACGAAAAAAAAGCGGACCTACCAAGAAACGGGAACCTGGGATCTGGAACCTGTGAGTGTGGAAACGAAAGAAAATGAAATTACTGCGAGCGAATAACCTGCAATTTCCACTTTCTCCCCGGACAACAGAACACCATCACACCAACCTTTCTCTCTCTCTCTCTCTCTCACTCTCTCCTAACGGCAATCGAAAACGACCTCAGTTCTACTTTACTTACTCGGTTAGGCTGATATATTTATAACTGTTTCTACTCCTTGTCCTTTCTCTCGCCCTCGCTCGCGCTCCCCAGCTTAGCGAATCTGAAACTCAGTGAATGAAGAAACTCTTCCATGTAGCTGCAGCTCGTAAGGCGACTTTTACTTTGGTGCGATGCAAGACATCCTCCACCTCGAAACTAATCTAATGGTCTAAAGGTGCCCTGATCCAACTTTGTTATATCTGTGACCTTACTTTCTATATTGTGAATCTACTACTACAACCATTCACGAGCCAAGATTTCTTGGATTCCTTTGCCTCCTTCGTGCGTGGTGATATTTAGCAGTCCTTGTACACATCTAGGGCCTCTTAGTCCTCGTGGTAGAAGGCTTCGCAGCATATTTATTCGTGTGGTATGTGGATATATGTTGTATTTCTATATTTCCACCGAGTATCTCATTTCACTCTTCTCCTCAGTTGGAGAAGCAGTTGAATCAAGATATGTGTTCATATAACGCGATGCCATTGTTTGGTGCTGGGAGGAGGGCAATCTATTCCTTAGGGAAAACCTGAGACACAATAAAGCCTTCTTCAGATTCATGGGACGTAATTAGTCTTGGAGAAACGGATTAGTCCGTAAAGAATTGCACTTTTCACAAGATATCCAGTCCTAGTTTCTCAATAATACACCCGACATCCATTTATCTGCAATATGGTCAAAGTTCTTTCTGGGTGTGTTGGTTGGTTACGAATGGAGAGATCTGTCCTCGATGTCATTGTGGTGGCTTGCTCGCTGTATGTACAGAGAGAGAGCTTCTACTACGTCTGATATATGCGACTGATAGGCTGACAAGTACTTGCGTAATTTATCCTTCAGCAACATTTCTTCCTCTATTACCAACAATGCAATGTTTGTGTCGTGGGGGAATCTGAATTGATCAATTTACTTTGGTAGCTGTTCAGTGGTGGTGTGTCGTTAAGCCAAAAGTATCCTTGCCAGCTACCGGATTATTTGTTTCGAGGGGTGATTTGAATAATTAATTGCTAATTATTCTTACAGCATGTATCTTTAATGTGTCTATGAGATAAGATGCAGGAAGATTTTTTTGGAAGTGGTCATTAAGACAATCCCTCTCAACCCATGCTCACAAACCTGCATATATGCCTTGTATTGTAAGATATGCAATGTTAATTTCCTCCATTTCACCAGACATTTTGATCATTCCAAGGATTCTTAACCAACGCCAGCAGAATTTTGGGGCTATTGTTTTTGTATATGCAGTTGCCGTGAAAATAATCGAAAGCCCAGAGCCAACTTCCCTGATATCTGCAGCTTTTGCGTCATACATTTTCGTTATCTGCGTTAATGTGAAACCTACCAGAAAATCTGGTCCCATAAATCTTTCCACCTGGTTTTATCGGTGTCAATGATAAATACATGGAAAGGATCTACACTGTCTTCTTTGCCTGCTAGATTTTATATGAATGTAGGTGCGATTGAAGTCACATAAAAATAATAATATAGCTGGCAATGATAAATAATAAAAACTGAAAAGAATATTGTGGTCCTTTTCTAATTTAAAATACTAGGAAAATCTCAAAATTTTGCAAAACCTACAATGACAGCTTGTTAGATACTTTGGCTTTTAAGACTCAATAATATGTCCAAAATCGGTTCAGTTGTCATATTTAGACGGACATCACGAGTCCATAAACTTTGATTTAGACTAAATATGGATTGCAAATTTACTTACCGGATATATATTTCCTCGGATCATGTGTGCCTTGTCTTTGTTTAAGAGGAGATATTCACCTGTATTTCAGATAGATTTCATATTATATAAGTAATGCACGAGGTATGTAAATTACTAATATACTCAAATTAAAATGCTCATTAAACTTGGGTTGGTACAAAGATTTACATTTGTAATAAAATTTGGGAATAATCTCACTAACCATACATCAGAATTACCTAAATTGGTACATAATTTTGTGATATCTGTGTATTTTATGGAAAGTGTATAGTATAATTATTTAACATATTATTATTACCTCTGAAAGGAATTATTCGTGGGTTGCGACTACCACCAGACATTTCCGAGAGGCGGTCGGATTGAAGTCCTCCACACGTGAGTACATACTTTGCCCGGATGCTCTGAAACCATAATTATCGTGCAGCCATACAATTTGGAATGCGAAAGTAGTTAAGACGGAATTAAGAGAAGAGTTTGAAATTTCACAGACTACTACGTTCGTCGAAAGAGAGGAGGGAAAGAAAGTAGATCAAGCATTTCACCAAGTTGAATAGGCAACGAGGCGGCGGTTGAAGGAATTAACATATTTTATATCATCGATTCTCTTTCCTCTCTCTCTCTCTCTCTTGATTAAAAAGCATCAATTCTGTCCAATGAAACCCTATTTCTATTCAATGTTGACAAGAACGGATTTAGGCTCCAGTATCTATTTCGCTCCTCTGCCTGTCTCTCTCTCTTTCATGGAAAGAGAAAGCTTACTCCTATCTCCAGCAGCATCCATTCCGCTCGAGATGAAATGCTAGTCTTCACTCCGTCCACACTCATTGCAGACTCGACATTGACTGAGTTTCACCCAGCCATCCAAAGTATTCACATAACGCGGCTAAACAAAACTGGCATCTAGCTTTAAGCCTATCCTCCAATTTGCATAAGTTCATACGTGCATCTGTCTGTCTGTATGAATGTATGCATAATACAAATCCAAATAAATATATATTTCGTGCAGTAACAATTCCTACTCATTCATCCCAGATTATGACTATTTCTACAGAATTGGAATCTTTGTAGACAGTCTGCCAATGCAGTCGCACAATGTGAGATGTGAGACTTTTGGACTTTTCTAACACTCGTGCGACCCTCTCAGAATTTTACATGCCGGATGAAATTTCAAACTGACAAGGCTTTCGTTGGAGTATGGCTTTTATGCCGGCTTGGAATAAATTTCACAATTGCTGAATTCTATTCCCATTCCGGTCAAAACTTTTACATCTTTCGTAGCAATTTGTCTCCAAAGTCCACAATTTATGGATGGAGATTCATTAGTTGAACAGGGCCGTAGTAAGGAAGGACAGGTTTTTTGAAGCTCGCTTGCACCGCATTTCCTCAGCATTTTTGCAAATTGCGAGTTTATACAATGGGTTTTAAATTGTGGTTCCACATTGTTTGTTGTGTGTGTAACAAGAGGGTATACACTTGAGAAGAAAGGAACACGGATCCATTGCTCATTAGTGGTTTTGATTCAACTACAAAAAGTAATTAGGATTTCGGTAATGATCATATTACCTACTGCTGCCTCAACATGCTACCACCCCGCAAAGTTCCTTCTCCTTACTTTCATCCTCTTCTTCTTCTTCCAACAACTAATAATAAACTCGTGTACGGACCAGCTAAAGATAAACTTACTGCCTGTTTGCTGCTCAACTCACGACGAAACTAAATAATGGACCCAGCAGAACACAATGGCACAGCAAAATTCGTTCTGTACCACGGACCACAACTACATGCTACATGGAAACCTGGCTGCGATGACGATGATGATGCTCTCTTTGAAGAGAAACTTTGAAGGAACTACGCTCACGAGAAGGCAGCTATTGAACAGCGAGTGAGTGAGAGAGAAAGTCAGCAGCACTTTCTTTATTAGCCTGTCTGTCAGTTCTTCGGATCGCATTACCATAGAGCACACATTACAGAAAATAGCTTGGCTTCCGTCCGCTTTCTCATCCTTCTTCCCTCCCTCCATCCAACCAGACGGAGCAGTAATGCCATGTGTGGGCTATACTCATTCGTCTTCAATGAATGTCCATGCACTCCGTACTTTATGTACATGTGTATGATTACGAGGAGCTTCCTTGGCTAAATCATTCAGAAAAACAGGCTCCAATAACGAACTGTACGAAACCTTGGTATTATCGTTATTATTATTATTATTGGTAGTAGTATTATTGAGGATGTAATTGTGTAAACTGCTAAAATGACAATTCTTAATTTACTTTGTATAGAAAAATATATTCCATTCGTTATTTAGTTTGGAAGTCAGTACAGGAAAATTACACTTAAATTTCTGTCATTGTGTGCCGTTATTGACAAGTACAATACGTTATATATAACCAGTGCCATTTCGTCGTATTATATTTTAGTTATGAATAGGCATATAAATAAGACGACTATGAAATATAATTGCACGTAATTTCGTAGGTTACAGAAGAATTGTGTTAAGTCCCTCATTCCAATTGCACAAATGTTATGCTTAAGCAAAGTAGTTGTCAGGACGTACTCAAACTCAAAATAATTCGAAATATTCGTACAATTTTCAAAATAAAGCAGCTCTGGAATAAAACTATAGTCGCGAATTGATTAAAAAATGAAGCAAGTATGAAGGTGTGTCTGCACTGTGTACATTCAGAGGCCTTCAATATTTAATCCTTAGATAAAAATCAGATCTACACCATTAGACACATACGCATACATTTTGAATATTCGTGAAAGTAAGAGTCAGTCGTTTTATGTAATGGCCAATTTGCTACTCGAGACTTTGAACAATATTTTGTCATCAGAGTCAAAATAAATGATCCCCTTAGGAAAAATTCTGCAAGGAGTAATCTTTTTTCAAGTTTTTGGCCCATTTGGCAATATCACGTATTCCATGAGTTCAGATGGCAATGTGAGGATGACAGGAAAAAAGAGATATCAAACGAACGAAAACAAACTCCAACTTTCTAATCTCACCAGTTGTCATCGAATAGCGCTCCAGCGTCATTTGCCCATTTATATGTTATGATGATTGTCGAATCTGTTGAATCATACATGTTTGTGTGCATACGAGGATTTCACCATTTGTGATTTTATTCTGTTAAACGGAGATTGCTTTTGTTCTGCATTATTATGAACATTCGAAATCTTGTTAGAACATGGCATGTTTTGGAATAATACAAACGTACATTTGCAGGATATGAATGATTTCGTGTGCTCAAAAAGTCACGTGCATATAGGCACTACATATATATTGCGATTGTAGCATCTAATTTATATATGTGCAAATGTATGCAGTTAGAAAATCTCCTGCTGAATTTCTATCTGTGCTTTACTATTTATTAAGTTATGAAACTATTATTGCTTGATTGAACTACTCATCCTCAGTTAAAAAGTATGACAATTCTGACTTATAAATTTTTACTTGTACCGTCAGTTGTTAATAAGTTTTTATATACACATAAAATTCGAAGAATTTGACTTACTTTTCCCTTATTGTTAAACACTAATACAGGATAGTCGTTTCCTGACTGCTTGCTATTTGGAACATTAGCCCTTTGGTTGCCTGAAAAAGATACAAACCCAGTTAGACATTTTCTATCTTAAGTTTCTCGATTCAATTCATGCTACTTGAAGAACTCGGAGTCGTATAAAGTTGACATGACGAGTTGACGATTTTGTACAAAAAGCGGTCCTTTAATTACAATGTTTTAGAAAAGGGATAGTTCATTTTAATTAGCGTTTGGGGAATTACAAGAGGATAGATTTTTAGACTTGTAAAAACTCGATAAACTCCCCTTTTCGTCCACGTCCACACCCGGAAAACAAAATAAACTATACCCAGATGGTATCCCACCTTGTTTGTCATTTTTATTATCTAAATAATGTTTGACGCTTTTGTGAGGTATTTTCGATGGTATGAAGAGATACCCATTTCTATTTCTCAATGGACCATCACGCTTCACCCTTGAAGACAAGAGTGAAATTATTTTCTCAACTTACTTGAAGATTGGGAACTTATTTGGAATTTAGTTACGGGGAAGTTTGTATGGATTTTCCCTCCTGATTCAATAAAATCGTTGGCGTAGGATCTCTAAAATTAACAAAAGCAAAGAATATTTTTTGCTACATTAGTTTAGGCTTAACGATTATATTTTTGAAATTATTCGCAACCCATTCCGAAAAATTACTTTCGATTAGAAACTCGAGTTTTAGCATGTTTATTGTGGCAGGTATTCGACAAAACTGTATTGAAACCAGGTTTAAGAAATGCAAAATCAACATGCTTGGTTTTATTTGAGATTGAAATCGAAATTTGAAATACCGTCACTTGTGTGTAGTCAACGATGCCAGTTTCCGGCGACCATATTCCCATCAGTCCCTACAAAGATAATAAAATAAATATAAAAATATTATGCCGGTTGTTTCTCTTGGCAGAAGGGAAGATTTTATCTGTAGCTTTCCCATTTCGTGAGTTCATGCCTCTCTCTCTCTCTGTATCTTCGACGAAGCCAACTACATTTATTTGTCCGCATGTGTTCCAATCTAACAAATAATAATAAAGCAAGAGGCATAGGATAGGAAAGTTCAGGAAGTAAAAAGCAAGGATGGATCTCATTTCATACTACTTCTACTATTACAATGAGGACGATTTGTGCCCAGTCTTCTTTATTCCACACACAGTTTACGATTACGAATGTCGTTTCGGGATTGCATTTCAACTATTTGGAACTAGCGTGTACAAAAGTCTGAGCAGAGTGGTGATGGGTATTAACAGCTCGTAGATCTTATGCTTAGTTAGGGTTGGCAGTGGGTGTTTATGGACATTTACATTACGTAGCCCAACTATGAGAAAGATTGTGAACTTCATCCATTCCTCGTCTCGTTTATCTGTGTGGATCGAATTGTGTAACCATTTATCCGTCCATATGGGCCATCCGTTCGCCAGGCGTATGTAGTTCGTTCGTTATTTTGGATGTGATTGTGGATCGAAGTTTTGTCGAATTGAACGACAGCAACAGCAACGGGCAAAAACAGCAGCAGCAGAGTTTCCTTTCACTACGAGTGGGAATTGTTATCGCCTCTCTCGCCCGCTTTCCCCATCTCCTCACTTTGTTACACAGTACACACATGGATACGAGATACGTACGTACGATGAAGTCGGGGAATGAATCTTGTCGGACTGGTTGGTTGGTAAGTAAAATGGGAAGACGCATTATTTTTCACTACGTTTTTGCCGAGGTAATTTCAAGAAAGATAAAAATTTATAGTCGTGCGCTTTACTTATAAAGATATAAATATTATGTGGGAATCTGCTCCATAAGTTACCTAAAACTAATACTAACTGGTTTGCTTTACAATAATGGTTGGAATCTTTGGCTTGGTTACTTTCTCCTCCCGTATAAAACCATGATTATACACGCTGCTTGCTCTGCTTCAAGCGAGAGATAGGACGACCAAAAGTACCCACGATGCAGAAGTAGAAAAGACAGCAACAAAATGGGACTCTTCATCTCATCCTGTGTGTGTATGTATAGAACAGGAGGAGCAGTTAGCGATGGAAACACACGTTGCTTTTTGCAGCTGTACCGTAGTGCAGCATTTATACCAGCTTTTGCTTCATCCGTAGTAGCAGCAGTAACTACCTATAAACCGGTGAACGGAGATGGTCCCTTCTTCTTCTTGCTGGTTCGTAGTAAGTAATAATGGGAAAAAATAAAGTGGGTCGGAAATGGGAAAGAAGATGGAGAACCTCGGATCTTCTGTCTCGCCGATGGATCCTTTCCCAATGAACCGAATCTAAGACGAGGCTTCTTAAGGCCTGCAGAGACGGACAAAGCGAGAAGAAGTAAGAGTAAATTCATGTATTTCTGTTGGGCGTAACCAGTAAATTACTTGCACTCATGTAACGAAAGACTGATTTCTCCATATTCTTCCCTTCTATTGATCAGCTCCACTGTACGCACGATATACTTATATACAACGTATGTATGTACATATACAGGTAGGTATATAGGTATATGTACCTATGTACAAGGGACCCATGTGGATATGCGGGCATCCTTTTATCTCTATGCATCTACATATATTGAATACCATCCCTTTGTTAGATTGAAATGTGGGAAGACAACTATAAAATATATGCAATGGCTGAAAATATGGTAGCTTTCACATGATAAAATTTGATTGCTCGGTAATGACGAAGTGATACAAAAAATATAATTTAGAAACTTAATGAAATTAAGGTTGTGATGTGACTTGCAATCGATGTAGTTATAATATTGGTAGATTCGAAATTACGAGGCTACATTTTCGCGTGCAGCCACTTTTACAATTAATGTCACCGTGGTGGTCGTTCTCTTCAATCCGCTGGAAAGGAGAAGATATCCACAAAAGCGTCCAGCTTCAATGCCTCCTCCGCAAAGTCTAGATAATGGTGATAGTCGGCTCGACAATGAAAAATCTTGGTCAATTATAGCAAACATAAGGAAATTGATCTAGATTTCTGGGAACGACACCGACCGCACAGCCACACCATTTTTCCAACATTGTTTCCCACTACCACTTGAGTTGGCATGAAAAGGCAAACGTGTAGCTACATACGTACGTATATCAGTATTGTCCAGGAGAAGGCAGGCGGCCATTCATCGCGTGTCGTAAGTTGGTGTCAATGATAGGACTGAAAAGAATCGCCACCATCTTTCCTGTGGTTTTACTGAGGAATGCATGCTGGACCGGCTGGACGTATGTAGCATGGTTGTGGCTAAGCTCGTATAAGAGGATTGGCTGCTGCTGCTATAAAATACTTGATGATGGCGGTGGTTCGTGGGCACTTGACTCAACTCAAAGACTAGACTTCAACTTTCTTTAGAAAGTTTGGTACACATGTAACGAGCCCCCACTCAGTTTTGTGAGATCCGTGGCACGTCTCTGGTTTGGTTTCAGTCGGTGGTTCCGGATTTAGAATGAGATATGGGGAAATCGGCCAGGTTATGTGGGAAGAAAGCAAGTTAGCAAAGGCGGAAGGCAGAAAAGGAGGAAAGAAAGTGGAGATCGGACCAACCTGACAGTAGGGTTCGTAGTCCTTGATTTGTTGTCCGTCGATTAGTTTGAGTCCTGGCACATTGTTTTTCAAGCCTCGATCGTACAAATTTTGCAATCGAGGGATTTCGTCCGGTTTGACGGCCACTATATTATAGAAATATTCGAATGATACAATCCAACACAGCTATATACATTTATACATATATTTACAATTTAAAGAAAACACTCAGTCATTTCAAAACTAGTCAAAACTAATCAAAACAGTTTCACATGTTACAATTTATTATTTTATATTTTATAATTTTATCAATGGCTTGGGGCGTGCAAAGAAAAGTGTGAGCACGAGGCAAATGCGAACTCCGATCATACGACGACCTTTCTGTTTTGTGTTTTGATGAACTAAATACTTTCAATTTTCTTCGTCTCATATTTTCCAATACTTTCCCAATTTCTAGCACAACAACAACAACCCTCGGTCATTCACATTCTCGTTTTCTCCTCTCGTGATCTCTCTCTCTCTACTCTCGTTTTCGTCAAAATTGTACAAAACCACACCCACCGGAAAAATGAAGATATGTTTTCAAAATGACATCCATGTCTCCCGTTAATTCTTCAATTAATTAGTATTATGTTGCAGAGGAGCCATCCAGTTCATCCAGATGTTTCAGAGCCTCCCCCATTGCAGTCGGACTCTGAGGAGGAGGAATACGAGGACATGTCCACCCAAAAATTGAAGAAGGTGGTTGAGGAGGGTGGACTCACTCAAACCTCCACGGCACTAATTTTGGGAATTTTTATGCAAAAAGTTGACGACAGAGATGAAAAGTTGAAAAATGGTACGTTGTTCAGCATGTAATTTGCTATTAAAATAATAAATTAAATTGTATTCGCAGTTGTCAAAGCTGGGTCATCTACCACTACTACTACGGTGGCTACAACATCCCGGTTAAAAGCGATACGGGAGGCAGTCCAAGGAAGGATTTCATTTGTGGGGAATGATGAAGACTTGGTGAAGGATCCTCAGTTCAAACTGGCTATGGAATCACTCGTCAAGAACCCGATCACTGCAGTTTTCAACGGTGTCACCCTCACCGCTTTATGGGACCAGAAACGATCCAGGTTTGGATATCGTGACTCCACTCCCAGGCATGAGCACCCCAATGGGGTAAACTTTTTTAAGTGTCGACTGGATTTTTGTTGGATTGATGAGAAGTGTCCCACATGGAACCATTGTCCCACTCACTGCCCAACAAGCGTGTATTTTGTTCGTGATATTAAGGCTAACACCACCACCATTGCAATCATCATTCCAAAGATTCTAAAAACCGGTGGGTACAAGGATGAAGAGCTGCAAATATACTCCAAATCAAAAACCGGATTGTCCAACTCAAAGTCCCTCTACTATTACATGGACTCCCACAAAGATTCCAAAACTAACCCCCACGAAGCTGTTCTTAAATCATTCAATTCCTTCATTTACTCGACAGAAGACTTGTTGGCAGGAGAGGGAAATCAGCATAACATGGTATGCATGAAAATTGTTAAATAATCGTATTTAATCATGTTCTGTTATTCATTTAGGTCGCAATGAGCGTAATGACAATGTTATACAACTCGGTTTGTGATGTGAAAGACAGGGTCAAGTTTATAAATGAGGAGATTCACTTCCGAAATTGTGATGGATTTCAGAAGGACTTCTTTGTGAAGTTGAGACAAATTTTTGAAGTGAACGATTTCATCTTCAAAATCACGGGCGAGAAGAAGTCCACCACCGTTCTACCGAAGTCTCTTCATCCAGCAGTCTCCTACGGCCACCTGCCCAGCTCGTACCTCGCAAGGGACACCACAACGGGTGAAATCTACTCCGGGGTTAAATGGGGGATGAAGGTGCACACAAAAGGTGCAGGATCCAATGGTCATACCACAGCTAAAAAGACGGCATTATCCGATTTTGACAAGAGTCAGATCAACAGGGTTTATCAATTTGCTCACCCCAAAGCTGATCTCATCAAGGACAAGAAGAGTTACACTCGGTTGTCAAAGGGGGAGAAAAAAATCCACCTTGAAATGAAGGAGAAAGCTCAGCGCGTCGAAACTCTTGGCCATATATCATCACTACTCGCACAGATGCTTGGTTTGAAGATCAACAGCCACGACATAATTTTTATGGCTCAAAAGTTTTCCCACTTTGATGACTCCTTTTCAAAATCTATATTCGATGATGTGTTTGGTTATCTGTATGGTGAGGTTGTGGAAGTGGAGATTCCAATGGTGGTTAAAGATGGGGATGGGAATCTCATTTTTCAGTTTGTTAAGTAGGTTGTTGTTTCTTTTTTTACTAATAATTGATTGTACGGTGCTGCTATATGGAGTGAATTAAAAAGGTCTTACTTACCCTTCCCTCAATAACAAACACGAAATCATTTCGACTATTTTGCGTAAAATTTGGAATTTTAGTTTTATACACTTACACAAATACGGCAACAATTAGATCAAACGATTTGCACACCACGTACGAAAATTTTGTTTTTTAATTAACAATTTCGAACTAGAAAAAATAACTTACCTATTAACTTTCCAACCTGCAATATAGATCAGACGCACCAAGCTTATTGTTTCCATTTGTGACTAAATATTCTTTATCGTCATTGTCGTATAATAACAAGAGAACGTAACCAACTTTTTTGTAGGGGATGCCGCGTTTAGATAAGTACTCGTAGCTCAACCGCATGCCTTCAACACACAACTTTGCTTTCAGCGAGCCCGGTGTATAATAGATCCCAGCGTGTATGACCCCAGAATTATGTCCTGACTGATGCTTGGCTATTATATTAAATCAACACATGGAGTAAAAAAAATTGCTTTCACAAGCGTCAAGAAAAAATCATTTATCAAAACCAAACCTCTGTCCGTACATTGATTTGAGCATTTTAAATCCAGCACACGGCTTTAGCATTACAAATTCGACAAACACCCGCAGCAAGTAGTGTTTGTCTATAGTCGAGCCATATACTAAAGGGAGGGCAGCCTGGTGGATACGAATTTGGCCTTGAATAACCCCGGAACGGTTTGTCGTAGCGGGTCAAAATTTTGAACAGACGAGCATGTTATCCTCAGATAGTTGTGTGTAAAATTTCAGCCCTCTACTTTCAAAAATGCCTCCCGTACAGCCCCCAGAAGTTGAGACACTCATTTCAATTTTTTCCAAACTCCGTCTAAAAAATTCGGTCTCCGCAGAAAGAATTTCTTTTTAAGTATCCGAACCCAAAGAAGTCTATTTGACTTATATCAGGGGATTGTATAGGTATTTCACTATTCGAAATGATTTTTATCCCCAATCTAGGTTCAAGGTCATTTGCATAATCTTGGGTCAACTTTATCGTCTGGGAAGACGCTGCGTCACGATAAAAATTACCTTATTTATTTTTTTACCGTGCTATTTAGGAAAATGTTACTCTAAAAGTGGTTTCGAGACACGGTCAGCATATTGCTTTGCAGATTTCTTCACTTTTTGGGGGACTTTGATACGTGGGAGGATACCACGATCGGACATTGCACCCACAACTTAAAACTGTTTACAAAAGTTCTCCTCACGGGAAAACACCAAATTTCGTGAATTTTTTTTCGGCATTTGTCGTGTAGTAAGCTCTTCGAGCTCAATTAGTAACTTGTAGAGAAAATAGTGCTTCGTCAAATGTGACAAATAACTCACTCCTATTCCTCAACAGAAAATTTAAATAAAATTTTTTGTAAGCACGAGCCAGATTTTTTCTGGAACTATTTGAAATGACTATCTCAGCTTCTGGGGGCTGTGGGGCAGGCATTTTTCAAAGTAGAGGGCTGAAATTTTGCACACAACTATCTGAGGATAACATGCTCGTCTGTTCAAAATTTTGACCCGCTACGACAAACCGTTCCGGGGTTATTCAAGGTCAAATTCGTATCCACCAGGCCGCCCTCCCTTTGGTATAATGCCTTTGATGGGTGCAGTACATACTATATTTGAGCCTAAGTTTCGATTTTGCAGCGTCTTCTAGATATACTAAATATATATCGTATACATACACGTAGGCTATATTTGTATGTTCGCATCATACAAATTATTAATCATGATCACTCGCACGCATTTCTTATCGCTACATACGAACGTCGTGTACGATCATTTTTGTCAAATTTAATCCCGCACCTGGGCGAGATCCTATATTCTCATCTTCAGAGTGTGTATTTTGGCATTATCGTTGACCAGCGCTCGTCGAACAGCAGTTCCCCATTTCGCTATAATCCTCTGTCCATGTCTTATCAGAATTGTTTCAGGAGATCTAGATACACTGTTCCCCATGAAATCATCCATGAGACATGAGTTCTACTGATGCTTTAAACCGACACAGGAATCCGTCCAATCCCAGTTCCTATCACGTACTTCACGTCCACTTTTCTGAAAAAAACTTCACAATTCAATATCGAATCTTTATCTAATCTGCTAGCTTACCTCCCCCAGATTCACCCGACCCCGTTGTTGGCATTCTCAACACTTCACTTGTAATTCCATTATCTAACTTTCTCCGTTAAACAATAGAGCAGTTTTTCAAACAAAAAACATGTCCTGTCGTCAGTGAATGGTATTACATTTTTTTTACAGCTGAACAACCCTTTTTCAATGTTTACTTGGTTGATAGCAGACGAGAATAACAAGCACAATAGTTCTGTCAAACTACATGTTGGTATTTTCTTTATAATCGATTGTGAAATTCATTTTCCTGTCTCGTAGATATCTACCAAGCATTGGTTCTAAAATGATTCCCACGACAGTATAAAGTATGGAATGATATATATACAAGTTAATTTATAGCTTTTATTTATCTTGTCGTGTTAATCACATCATGAGAGAAACAACTCAATTTTAAAATAAATCGAAAAATATTTCATCTCTTAATAAATATTTTTGCCAGATTTGACCTGTTTTCCATTATTTATATCGTCTGATCTGCTTTCTCTTAATACCACGGATCTAATACTGTGCCACGGACTTAGGTACATACGTGGATCTACAACTCTTCACTCTCAGTCTCTTGCTGAGATTCATTACATTCCAACGAGGAGTTGGGTGGATGCAATAAGACTACTTTCTCCCCAGCCTGATAGTGGTAATAGGAGTGCAGGCTGATCCATTCTCCATATGAATCAGCCACCAGCACACACACACCACGCGGAGAGTTCAACCTTTAATTCCTTTGCCGGAGTTGGGAAGGGAGGAGGAGGAGGAAAGTAAAACTTGGTGGGTTGTTGGCGGAGAAAGTTCATCCAGTAGTCACTCTCATTTAGTTTAGTTCCTCGTACTCATTCTGGTCCAGTCAGGCCGAAGCTAGTTAATTTTCATTTCCCTTTCCTCGGATTTCACTCAGACTCAGTCCCACTCACTCACTCATTCATAATCTCCCCTAACACTGTTAGCCCAGCTAATTGACTTCCAGCGACCAACCAACTCTAACTAATTTCCTTCATCATCAGTAAAGTTCACCGGATGGATGATACTCGTGCGCTGGCTGCTACATGATACGCACTCGATCCATTCCACGAAATCCTCCTCCCGTCCCATTTCGTTTCACTCCACCCGGTCACCCACCCAACTAAGCTGGACCACGACATGGACGGATGCCGACCACATCACCAGTATCATTTTATTTGCTCTGATATCCTCACACAAACTATTTTGGATTAGTTTAGTTACTCATTTGTATTAGAAAATGGTGCTGCCACAACGATCCCACCTTTCTCTCTCATGCCTCACCAGACCCGCCGGACCGACTTTCTCTCTCTCTCCACGGCATTCCTCTCAGCCCAGCCGCATCCAACGTCTCTTACTTTGAGTCAAGCCAACTTATAATTATAAATTATCTTCAATCATCACCACCTCCACCACCACTGACACAATACTGACTCAACACTATAAATACACAGTCCGCGCTCCATTCTTTCACACTATTGGTCAACTCATCAATAACTTTCTGACAGACCTTTAACTTCCATATGGGCACTCCGCATTCACTGAACACTACACTAAATCCATACAATTTTTACATGTACACATGAGTAGAAAAATCGGACAGCCGCATTGTGTGGCAAGCATTTCTTTTAGTCTCACTTGATCTCCCCTCGTCAAGTAACACGAACGATGCAGTTCCCCAAATGCATAAGCGAGTCACTGCTTCTGCCCTTTTAATCCAATTTATTCTAATTAATCTCTGACATTTAGCATTTAAACACTCATTCATTCTTGTACAATTTGTAATTAATGGCATCCAAATTAAGTAATGAGATCACGATGAGTAGTAATAACGTAAGTAAATATACAGTGCAGCATTCCCGTATCAATCAAGCATATTATTATTTGTAAAAAAACAACGGCAATTTCGGCAGTTTCCATTAATCAAGAAGAAATAATTTTGGAGCATCTCAGAATCGCACTGCAAATACATTCAAAAGACAAGTAGACCGAAATGTATATAATTTTTGAGAGAAAGTGCAATTTTTCTCGACCTGGTACGTGACGTACGTCAGTGGAAATATGCCCCTTGAGTGATTTGACAAAATTTCACCATCCAGTTGCTGGAGGAACCTACATATATGTAACATAAGCATGTATGTAGGAGTACTTTCACTGCTGCTGCGGTGAAATGAATGAAGCCATGAAGCTCTCTGTAAGTGGAGCGAAGCGGTTGCCAGTCAGCAAATTGATGATTTTCATTATTATTATTACTCCACACTATTTCCAGCCCTCCAATAATTACAGGCAATTCAACAAACTAATCGCTCCTTCTTTGGTCTTATTAATACCTATCCGACTGCCCTGGAAGCGTTTCATGAAACGTTTCATGTGGTGACCTGACTGACTGGCTCTCTCCTGGCTTATAATATGTAACCAAAGATAAATGCCAAAACCAAATGAGCTCGGAGCAGAACTAAATCCACTACAATGTCGACCAGGGAAACCGCGCTGCTCGACGACGATGTAATGTGAAAGCCAAACCAGTGCAGCGCTTCACTTTGCTTTCTCTGGATCCTGCCAGAACGGAATAAAATCCTGGTCGGCAGCCATCACTGCACTGCTCATTCCTTGCACGGCTCGAGGTTTTAGTTGGTTGATGACCTCCGGGAGTAAGTAAATGAGCAATAGGAAATAAAATAGCTCGTGTGTCATTTATCTTTTACTGAACCGCCATGTCGGAATGTCCATTTGCGGTGTCTCTCCCTTTCTCTCCTTTCACCTACCATGATTTCATCTGCCCAAAGTATGTAATGCGAGAGGCCTCGATGTACATGTGAGCTCTAAAATAACAATACAGCGAGATTCATCATCGACCGGTGAAGAATTACTTCGTAAAAATTAATGAAAAGGAACAAGTGGAGGAGAAAAACATCATATTCACCAAGTTTTCAGTCAGCCGGCAAGAATTGCGTTAACTAGTTGAGGCATAAGTGCAAAAATAACAAAATGACGTTACATACTAGTAACGCCGCAATTTTGGGAGCAACAAGAAATAATTATATGGGTCACAAGACTTGGGTCCTAAACACACCAAGTATACTTAATGCTCACTGTTTAAGCTTGTCTATATAAATACAATTTTACCCCCGTGATTCTATTTCAATTGTATATCTTTGTGTGCAAGAGGAGATACATAAAAACCTTCATGAGCACATACATGTATGTACATACGTAAAAGGAGCTCAATTCTGCAATAATTTCTTGCTCAGGTACCAGAAGAATCAAAGGGCATAGGTCAAGGCATGCACATGATGGGCAAACACCCCGAGCAATGAAATTATTGCTAAAAAACGTGCAGCTTTTTGCGATTATGGAAGTTTAATTTGCAACCTATGTACGTTTGTTTAATATTTATAAATTACAACAGCTTCTGCAGGGGTTAACTTCATGTATGTACGTAACTCTGTAACAAGAGGCGTTCTTATACATAAATACCTCAGCACATGAAGAGTGGGTTTCATGGAGGGAATGGTGAAATCTATCCAATTCAATCTTTATGTTTTATGTCGACACACGAATGAGGAATTAAAACTGAAGTCCCATAATATTATGCATGTCGACTCCCAAAGCGGAAACCAGGACAGTCTACCTCATAATAAAGCAGTAAACTAGACTCGCTCACTTTCCTCCAGTGCTCGCATTTGAAATACAGTGCACACTCTAAATGCCATGCAGCAACGTTCGTCGTGTAATACCCGGAGCGAGATGGATTGATGTCTCGTATAGCGGCAGTAATAATGCATGCAGTGAGTCTTGGTTAGTGTGCATAATGGAATATTTGTCGTTATACGTTTTGTCCGACTTGGCAAATGAAAGATATAAGATTACACACAATGTATGCATTTAACTTGGTCTCTCATTTCGTAAACTACCAACTAGCTCGAGGGGGATGAATATGAAATGGTGAGCAAAAGTAGACGAGTCCTGGAATTAAAGTTAAGAAAAGCCACAAAACAACAGAACATTCTGCCCGCATTTTGACTTGAACTCCATTTCTCCACCTAGTCTTTACACGTTCGCTACTTGGTTGGTATAAATCTGCTTGGACTTTTATATCATGGATTGTACATTTATTTTAATTTATTAAGCTGCAGAAAGCAACTGCAACTGTTTTGCATTTACATATGTACGTAATATGCGAGAAAATGCTCTGGTCTTGCTCATTTAATATCTCAGGTGGGTCATGCAAACTTTAAATTTGGCTACGCCTACTTCTTACCACCAAGATTAACACAAGACGCAAGACCAGTGCATAATTAAACTTCGGGCGTTCATGTTATTACAACGATAATGAAATTCATTCCAAAAATATACATATTCGCTTTTCGTACTAGACACGACATACTTAATTTCATTTAGTGCGTACTTAGATATTTACATGCATACTTCGGTCCAACCAGCTTTCCCCACATACATAAGTTACATAAATGCATACTTAATTCTACGTCAAGCAAAGTAATGGAGGATGAGTTTCCAATATTTATTCCAGATATCATCATGTGTGCATAAATGGAAATTAAATATCTCTGATCGGGTATTGTTGAAACTAATTAAGGATTAAATTATAAAATCCGATCCGAAATTGATTCCATCATTTCAGGCTTCAAATTTCAGTTTAATTAACAAACATGATACCTTTGTCAGTAGCAAAATTTTAGGAATATGTTGTATGCGGAGTATTTTTCATCGAGACAAGGTAGACGGCGTTAATGTAGATACACAATGCACGTATGCATGTATGTATGTAAGCACAAATAACAGTTGGCTAAAATGGCATGTACGAGGCTTGTATATAAAAATGTATAAAAATATTTATTATGTGGGAAAATTTAAAAATCAGAGATTCTGATTTGGTTCAAACTCATCATTTTCTATTCATGGGAAATGTTGACAAATAATCTAATCCTTAGCAAACTAAATAAATGTGAATAATCATAGATGAAGTTCGTGCTTACTGTGTGAATGATTTAATTGTATCCAATATTTCTTCAATTTATTGGTGATTGACATTTTGTGAACAAATAAATTTTGTATAAATCTTGTACTGTGTAGCAATGAAATTTAAATTCTGAAATTTGTGTATAGAAAATGTAGTGTAGCTCATATTTCACAAAGTCTTATCTTGCTATGGAAGTGAAAAATGGTTTTCTTTGTCTGTATACACCTCTCTACAAGATTGTACCAGCTAATCGTAAGTATTCCTAAGCGAGTGTAGAATATTTTGTAAAATGTTTGGATGGCATTGGTAAGTAAACGGATTCATCGCGTTAATATTCAAACAATCAATAACCCCTTCAAGGGTTAAAAACCCGATTTGCTGAGCCGACAACAAAGACAGTAATCTGAATCTGTCCTCAGGGGCCAAACAATTCCAATCAATTCATATTATATTTAAACCATAATAGCAATATAATGGATTCCAAATCATAACATCAACTATATACTTTACTTTCTAGGCAAGCCTGTCCAAGCAATAAAATATGAGACAGGTGAACAGGTGAACAGCATGCTTACATTACTTTATAACCCCTTTCATCTTGTCTTATCTTTTAAAATCCCTCCACCCTCCACTTTTTACAGGCTTTATAATTTAATTTAATGCTCTAATAATGCATGTCCATAGTCTCGCTACGTCTCTCTGCATACATACCTTTTCATAAACTGAAACCATTTGAGGCTGATGTGATCAACACAAAGCATGCATTAATTCAGTCAAATGGCCAAATAAGCAGCACGGTACGAAATATGGGTTCGTTCTTTCAAGCGTGTCTACAATGAGTGGTAAAAAGTAAACGTTTAGACTTATTACTTTTCAATGTGAAGAAGAAATGGCAGGTAAAGAGAATCAAAAATTAAATTAAATTATGAGACTCCTGGGATATTACTCTAAAACAATATACACGCTGTAAAAGGAGATAGGCGGTTCAGATTTATTCGTGAAATTTATCAGGTGAAACAACAGCGAGTGGATGAGATCATCAAGTAAACGTATAGAGACAGGTGAATATTAAAATAATTCAATAAATGGCGCACAATTTCCCTCGTAATTTATCAAAACGCAATTAACTTTGGAACAAAACAAGAGTTTACTGATTTAAATAATTTGCAAACTTCCATTTCAGGTGAATATGCACATATACACACAAAACTTATTTACACGTTTGTTATCGGCTACCACTATCCAATAGAAATATTTCTGAGTATCATTTTGCCTATGTACGTACGAATTTATGAATTTGGACCAACTGTAATTTGCAATGTTGAGATAAACAAAGCATTTACAACTTTGGTAACTTTTCCATGCAGCTAAATATTTCTAGGCATGTATGTAGTTACAGATTCGTTTTATTTCAACTTCGCAAACGAAAAGGCATAAGCCACGTCGTTGTCTGGCTCAATTTATTTTGCTCAAAATTTCAAAGCGGACTCGGACAAAGTTGCTAATCTAGTCTGGTAATTCATTTAATTTTTCACTCTTGACTCATGCCAGCAATGTGCTGTCCAGAGCAAATTAAATGCTCGGTATTAAACAACGCATCGTGCTACAAACATATAAATAGGTGGTATACTTGTATAGAAAGCATTAGCTTCGTCTCTTATATGCAAACGAATTAGTTGAAGCTGAAACTAGTCCAACAAGCATAATTCAATTTCGAATTTAATTTAGTGTCATTATCTACGAGCAATATATCATTTCCTAGTTGAGCATGATTTAAATCTAAATCACTTTAATTTCGGCTACAAAATGTGAGACATGGAACAAAAATTGTACCAGACTACAACATGGTCTGCATGTACACACTAATACTCCCCCAATTATCTCATCAAAACTGCGTAGTTATTTACCCTGCTATATACTTACTAATCCTAAGTATGCATGCACATCCATAGTCATCCCAGAAGTAAGAATGGAATTTCGGTTAGATTTATATTGAATCCATGAATTGGCACTTTACTTCCCTTGAAAGGTATGCCACCCTTCCGAGATGATATTGATCTTTGCCCACAAAGTATAAATCATGCAAAGACACTTAGTCTCATCAGCTCATGTACCGTCCTCACGAATATAAATCTCTACACACGGGGCTGGTTGGTTGATGTGAGAAATAGGGATTATTCATGTAATAGGCAGGCATGAAGGTATTTTGATGCAGGGGAGACTGCCTGTTTATTCATCGTCGTCGCCGTGTTGTTAACAAGTCCAGATCACGTCAAGAGATTTAAAAATATCATGGATCGAGTCGAAGCAGAATTGGATTCACTCATTCAGTCCGTAATATCACGCAGTTAGTCCCACTAAAGGGATGCATGATAAGAGGGTTTCTCCAACCAAGTCAAGATTTGGTTGGAGATATTTGAGAAGGAGAGCAAGTCATGACCTGAAAATCGTGAAGCGGACGCCATCCACCTCTCCACGGGGCAAAATCCTCTCTGAAACTCTGGTGGAACGCTCGTCGCTGGCAACGAAGCCGTATGAGAAAGTTCATTGAAATTTGTCGCCGGCATTTCTCTCGTGCCTTAAAATCGATATCACCGTTCTCTCATATCCCCCCTTTCCCGTATGTACGCGTAGAATAGCATGCACGCCAACTAACTTGTTCACTGTTGCTTCCTCCTGCACTCCACACAACCAAGTGCTTAATTTCTCAATGTAACGATATGGGATTCAGCATTTTATGCCGGTCCCTATTTTTGGGTATTGAATATTTTTCTACATCGTTAGGACTAGAGAGACAAATCTCCAGGCTTGGATAAATCAATATACATTGACAGAATCTTGGGGTTTGATTTCGCCAAAAACTCAAATACGAACTGTCATAATTTATTCATAATTTATAAAACTTAAAAGTGGAGCTTACCAAGTAGAGATTCTTTCTCTAACAGAGCCATTTTTAGGTTTGGATAGGTTCCACTTAAAGCCATGGCTGTAGCACATCCGACGATCCCACCTCCCACAATGACAAAGTCGTAGCTGTCTCCATTCCTGCATGCAAGAATACATTGGATAAAACATTACGCAAATGCATGTCGCATGTCATCAAGTCTGCTTGTCATCGGAGCTTGTTAATGTCCCGAACTCAAATTGTATCATCTGATTCTATTCCAGTTGATTAAACGACGAATAACTAAGGCTTTGTCCTTTTAGTGGTGCCATTAGTCCATCTTTCTTTCAGTTCTTTCCGTGTCCCAAAATGTATTGTAAATAATCCTTGTAAAATAACCAGCAAAATTCTAAATGTCACGCGTCATTTGCTTTTACCATTGTTATGGACTTTCAGATATGCGCATGTATGCATGCTTGGATGGAATCAGGTAGGTTAAAGAAAATTTTATTAAGTTTCTTTTAAGTTTCAAATTACATTTTCATTTGACTGATTTAATATTCCTCGAAGGAAGCCTTGTCAAAATTGTGGAGCTATGTTCCGTGAAATCCATGAGAAGTTTACCACCATAGCGAAAGAAATCAGGATCGATTTCCTTCTCTCGGAATAAAGTGAATTGCAATTTCATTTTCCTGTTCTCATCCAGAATGTGGGGAAGACTTGTGGAGTTGAGTGGAGTGCAGTGAGGCAGTAATCGTAGTAGTCGTGGGCGAAAATGTGAAGGTACACAAGAGAAGACAGCTCTCCGAGAGGGCCAACATAATAACTTCACAACTACGTGTGTGTATGTTTTATTATACTTGCATTACATCGAATGTGAGAAGAAGAGAAAATGAAAACTGTCATCCACAAGAAAAAGTAGTGAAAAATATATGAAATATGAAATGAATGATGATCATTGAAATGACAATGAAAAAAATGTAGTTATTTAAATATGCTACCCAAGGGCCGGCCTCTTTTCACAGGTGGCAGATTTGCGTCTTTGCGTGCTTTGGCAGCATCTCTCAGTTGGGCTCCCGTAGAAAGGGTACTCCTGTCCGGCTTCGTCTGGCCACCTCTTTTCAGAGGTGGTAAGCCAGCGTCTTTGCTTGCAATGGCAGCATCCCTACGTTTGGTATCATCCGACACCTTCTCTCTGTCTGGTTTCCTTTGACCACCCCTCTTCCGAGGTGGTTGACCAGCGGCTATGCGCGCTTTGGCAGCATCCCTACGCTTGGTTACTTCCGACACCTTCTCTCTGTCTGGTTTCCTCTGGGACCGACTAATATTTTGACCTCGTTTCAGGGGTGGTAGACCAGCGTCTTTGCGCACTTTGGCATTTTTCCGTTGTGTGGCTCTCACTTGAGACGCAGGTGTTGGTAACGGGCGCACATGCCGACTCCTATCCGTGGCCATGTCAACCAAACCAGGTATATCAATACATGGACAGGGTGGGCCATGAGAAGTGACATCATTGCCCCTGCCACAGTGAATACAGCATATTTTCCCGACCGACCAATTACTGCAATGTGGCTTTGGAGTCACATCTTGAGCAAGGCCTATGGTTACTACTAAGTAGTTAGGATGATCTGACGAGATGGGAGGAGTATTTACCAGATCAACTCTGGATAGTAGACTAGGTGACGAGCGGACCATGGCATAATCGAGCATATTATTGGAAGCACCTGAAGGCCCAAGATGAGTCCAGGGATGCGTTTTGTTCCCATTGCGGTTCGTTGTGCCTAATTGAAGATATGACTCTATCCGCATGCCAATATTCGAGAAGGATCTCTGCATTTGTCCCAACATAGGGTCAGAAATGCTGATATTGGTATCACCAACAGCCACCCAAACTGTTGTTGCATTGTTTGGTCCAAACTGGGCATAATGATCCACAGTAGCGTTCATCTGCAAGACTTTGTTGGCTCCAGCCTGTGATCCAGGTCCATGTACGCCTGACCTATAATGTAAGCCAACAAGGTGACAAGTATGCACGCCGCTTGTTAGAGTGGCTGCTATTTGCCGGTGATCGTCCTGTCCCAAGGGCCCGATGTGGACGTTTTGTGGCCCACCGCAACCTAGTGTTGGGTGGACAAGAATGGCCACCCCATTTTGACCTCTACCTCTGGGGCCACAATTGCAAGGGACATGACGGAAATGCCAGTTGCTAAATGCATTTTGTAGCATTCGAACTGAAGATGTTGGGCTGAGGTGAGTCTCGGTCAACACAAGAACATTGAAATTAGTATATGCCTGTATCCCACCAAGCTGGATAATCTTCGTGGCAGTCAAACCTTGAAGGTTAAAATGAACAATTTTAAAAATAAAATTGGGCGTCATGTTTGATTTTCGGGACACAAAGCCCTATCCGCACAAAGCAGATTTATTTCCGCACTAAGCAGACTTTATTCCTTTCCGCACAAAGCAGAAATTATTTAATGACCGCACAAAGCAGTACCAAACAACTACCAATAACCTAAATAAATACAACTAACTAAAATCTAAACTAAACAAACTCTCCACGAAGGAAGACAGCAAAAAACGGAAGATGATTAATTTGGATTCCTGTAAGAAGATCCAACAGATTTCATTTCATTAACATAATCACTCTGCTAACCTAGTTTTTAACCATTTAATGTCATTAAATTAATGAATTATGAAATTTACCTCGATCCTTGCAACCATCGACGACCATCAACGAAGAGGAAGACACGACGAGAAAAAGAAGAATCCAAAGTTTGTGGGGTTCTTTAGATGAAAATCTACACATTCAACCAAAACCTGTGACAAAATCTTTGCTAACCTAGCTTTATTTCAATTCGACGAGAACAAATTAAAACAATACGACTTACCTTGTACAACGTTTGATGAGATGATTAGGAGGGGTTGACGACGACCACGATTTCTATGATGTTTCTGTACAAAATATACGAGTAATTATTATTATTTATTGATGGCTTACCAAATAGTTAATTGATATTAAATTACAAATTTCCAGGAGTTGTGTTTAGGAGGAAATGAGGAAACGTCTGCACTGCATTGGTGGTCAGAAAAAGTGAGCGAGCGAGCGAGTGTGCAGCAGTGGTGGTGGCAAAACGTTCCTCACTGCTGCACACTCGCTCGCTCGCTCACTTTTTCTGACCACCAATGCAGTGCAGACGTTTCCTCATTTCCTCCTAAACACAACTCCTGGAAATTTGTAATTTAATATCAATTAACTATTTGGTAAGCCATCAATAAATAATAATAATTACTCGTATATTTTGTACAGAAACATCATAGAAATCGTGGTCGTCGTCAACCCCTCCTAATCATCTCATCAAACGTTGTACAAGGTAAGTCGTATTGTTTTAATTTGTTCTCGTCGAATTGAAATAAAGCTAGGTTAGCAAAGATTTTGTCACAGGTTTTGGTTGAATGTGTAGATTTTCATCTAAAGAACCCCACAAACTTTGGATTCTTCTTTTTCTCGTTACTGGAGGTTCCTCTAAGGTGAAGCTTTTTAATTTTAATTTTTATATAAATTGATCAACATAAAGCTAGGTTAGCAAAAGGGTTAAAACTAGCTCACTTTTTTGTTAATTTTCAGATGGATGACTATATAGAACTAAGCTTCAAGGGACAAGCCGGTGGTCTTCGTCGTGCGATCCTTGGCGATGGTGGTGGTCGAGGTGGATCATTTAGAGGTGGTCGAGGTCGTGGATTTGGTGCGGATCGAGGTGGTGGCAGATTCAGGGGACGCGGAGGATTCGGTGGCCGTGGTCGAGGAGGTTTCCCCGGAGGTCGTGGTGGCGTCACCAGGAAAGGTAGAATTTTTTGTATGACGAATGATTTATGAATTTATTTATTCCTTGATTGTTTATTTTACTATGGGTAAATTGTGTTTTATTTGATTGCAGCTAAGCAAAAATGCGCACTTTGTAAAGAGCGAGGTCATCTTGCAGCGTGAGCCAAAAATTCTACGCCAGAATTACAATCAATTGGTTTAGTTGGTTTCTAAATTTTAACTTTGATGTTCAGGAATTGTCCATACTCTGAAGAAGACGCCAAGAAGAAAAAAGTCGCTGCTTTGCAAAAGCACGTCGAGATGGCTGTCGCGGCTGCCAAAGCTGCTGCTGATGCCACTGCTACTTCTTCGTCTTCTTCTACTACTTCTTCTACTACTTACCAGGTGGCCCATTTGCGGGTTGGACCTCCACAATCTGTGATGCCATCTCCATCCCTTGTTGATGCTGATGAAAATATGATAGATTAAGTAGTTACTTCGAATATAATCAATTCCATTGTTATTTGACCTGCTAATACCATATGTAATTCTCGTATTGTATTTAAAACGTCTTGCTTTTGTATAACAATTCCTAGACCATTTTTTTCAGTCATTTTAAAAATAAGAAAAAATTTGCGTGGAGCTTCGCCCCATGTTAGAATTTTCCTAATTTCTTTAAGAATTAAGAAACAAATCCTTTACCATTTTTTTATATAGTAAATCAAGGGTGACAACTTTGGCATATTTGATAAGTAAAAGTTTGACTAATGGTCTCCACCACCATGAACTTCGAAGGACTCGGGCTTACTTGCCTTCTCTTTGCCGGCACGTCTTCACGTCAGTCAGGCCAAGATCTGGGATAATGCTGCGCTATGTTACGGATTCCCATTCTGGAAATCCAATATTTTTCGTACTTACAAAAAGTAGCCGGGTCATCCGGACTTGCACTTTTTATTCAATTCTGCCATGTAAATGCAACTAATATACGAGAAAAAATTATTATTCAAATTAAAGTTCTGAATTAAATAAAGTCGAGACTAAAATGACCTCTAAATTTTTTATTAAGAACAAATTCTAAAATAAATGTATGTGCCCTTTTTAAGAGACCAAGTCGTATTAATTCACTATTTCATCGCAATTATTTTCCGCCTGTTGCAAAATTTTAATGAAATAACTATACTTGCTGGATGAGCCACAATAATTAATGCTCAAGTCAATATAAATAGAACATGGATTATGTACGTATATAAACATACATATACATTTATATCGACTATAAATACCCGGTTCTAACCATTCTTGCTATCCGACAAAATTAAACTGGGCACGAAAAATGTAATAAATGGTAATGAAAGCTTTGCTCAAAGGACCTGCTGTGCTTTGTGACTATCTTCTTTCTTGCTTGGAGAGCGGAAACAGAACATATCTTCGGATTATGAAGCAATGGTGATACACGAGAAAAATAATAATATTGATCCGATTCCTTCCATGATATCATGCAGTGTGGGTAGTACATACTTTATAGTAAAAGAAGAAGTACATAGCGCAACAATTCTATCGCGTTTCTTAAATCGACTGTCGACAGAGCTAAAGCTTTGGTGGTTCCAAGACTCTCGAGACAAGACAAGATTGACTGGCCGAGAAGAAGAAGAAGGAAACTCTGCTCGGAAGAAAGAAACATGGATCTGCAATTTGGAACGAGCTGACTCGCCTCTCTGCTGAGCACCAAATTATTACATTACATTACCCAAGGAAAATGTACATCATTAGCGTTGCGTAGCATATATGTAATGATGGTAATGGTGTATGTTGAATGTTAATGCCATGGTTTGAATATGATCGAGAGGATATCATTCAAAATGTGTGCTGTATTTCCGTTCTTATAGCTTCAAATCACGATTTTCACGTGGTGGCCGATCGAAAACTCGAACGAAGCGATTTATTTCAAAAGCAATGGTTGCTGCAGCATTTCCAGAGACGTTCTTTCTGGTTAGGTCAAAAAATGAGCAATCCAATTTATGTACATGTGAGATATTGTCGCATCAAGGGAATTTCGATTCTCAAGTTGAAATGTGTATCTCTTCTAATCAATATGCAATATAAAACCGTGCAAAATCTGGACCTAAGGTACAATTGTTTGGTTTATCCCTATTCAGAAAAATTAATTATTGTTTAAGAATATTAAAAGCACATTACAAGGAAAATTAAACGTGTACAGTAAGTTGGGGTATACACCTGACTACCATTTATGTGTACAAATTTTGTAACTTCAGCCCCCTGCTTTCGTGCAGGCGTGTTTTTTGTACTCGTCTTCAGAGATATTAGTTTTCTATACGAAGGGTTCTTGTGTTTCTTCTTCAAGGTAAAAAATGGAATTCCAGAGATGGTGGCAGTTGGGTATCTTATTGCTCCAACAAAAAAAACAATCCAGTACAGACATTGTTATTGTTATACATATAGTCAATACATAGCTGCGAGTATAAATCCAGTACTTATCTCTTTCAACGTATTTATGTAGTACATGCATATATCACTCTACATATCTACAAGTCATACATACATACTGTGGCATTCCTTGTCTATGAATCCAAGATGATGACAAGGAGGGAACTTGACCGAAAATGTGTGTACATATGTATGAGCGCCCAAACCTACCAAACAAGGCACCAAATTACCAAACAAATAACTAATAAGGTACATAAAATACGCAATAACAAAAGCTCCCAGCCCCACCAGATCTGATGAAATTACTATTCATCTAGACCAACAAGAAGGCTTCACTTCACAGTAAATTTTGAATATGCTAATACATTTTCTCAACATGCATTCCAGTGCTATGTGAGTGCACTTTGCCTAAGGGATCAGTAATTTACTACTACTTGCTCAAGGACGGATAGATGGATGGACACCTTGTAGTACCCAGTTTTCAAACGATCGGCACATCATGATAATAATTTAGGTTTACATTAAATTCATTTTTACGTCTTAAATTTGAGAGAGCGTCGGAGGCAGGCACATTTGACACAAATCAATTGAGATTCTGAATCACTAGCGATACTATCGAATGGTTTAAGATCTCTTTTAATTTTCCGAAATACGAATTTAATTTCCCTAATCTCCCTGATATCAGGTTCATAAAGGGTGAAGTAAATCGCACGTAAATAGTAAGAGACAGAAAGAAGATAAGCATCCAAAATTTTGAATTCATTAATTCCACATCACCTTTTGTCGTGGACAGGTTTGCATATGCAGCTCAGATCTTACCCTTGGTTTTAAATTAAGGATAAGGTTGTAACAAGGGGAGGAGTTTTTGAGCCGAGTGCATATTACAGCGTGTAGTTGTTATCTCTCGATACATAGTTTGTACGTGTCAGAAGACTTTTAAATCGAGAATCTTGATTGAGATTAAAGGACGTTGAATTTGTAAGAGTTTATAGTAAATTAAACCGTAATAAGATAACAAGTCATATTTTTCTTCACATAAATGTAATATCATTTGCATATAAAACCTATTAATGATTTAAACGTTGATACATACTAATCATGAAATGTAGCATGCATAGAAAAAATATTAAAAATTTTGCATACTTTGGTTCGGTGCTCAAGGCTTCCGGGTTAAACTCTCGACTGGTTTTTACTTCAAACTTGGGAGATGACGTCGTACTTAAGAATTTGACTGAACACGCAGAATTAAGGGTTTGGAGGAAAGCTCTGCTTTCACCTAAATGTTTCCACATGTACGTCATGATTCCCTGTGATTTTCAGCATATAATTAATATTAGTTGATATGATTGATGAGATATATTTAGTTTTAATCACGTAAATAACAAAACTTTGTATTTATTTCGCTTACTTATAATATTAGTTGCAGCAACGGCACATGAAATTGGTCACTTGAAAATATTTGACAACAGCTGGTGGCGTAGATGAAAATGCACTAACTTCGTTTTGCATTATGTTACTTAATATGTATGTAAACTATAGTTGCTTGGTTTATTTATTTTCATAATGAAACCTGTTCTGTCTGCTTTATCAATGTCATCAAACGTAATGCAGTTATAACTCTAACATTTGTTCAGTTATATGGCTTTAGAGCAATCAAGTACTGATTAACGCAACACTACTATTAGATGTTATTATGTGTGACATGTAATATCACGATAATACAAACCAACACCACATTAAATTAATTCAGGAGAACATTCTTAAATCACATGCAAACAGATACCGGATTTATTCCCGGTTTTCGCAGCAATTTTATCGACCGGTTCATAGCTCACTCTTTTGAGCAATTCAAGAACCTCGAGTTGGAACGATTCATCCACGGATGGAGAATGCATTCCATGTTCTTTGTCTTCTCTAAAGTGAAGTAGCAAATATTATTTCTTAACTCATTTTAAAATCATATAAATTAGATGGGACTAACCCGGGTCTTTCATGTACATTTACTACTAATGTATTAATCGTAGGATTATTAGATTTTAGGTCGCAACATTAGTTTAAACGTTGAGTTTTAATATTTCAAATTTATATCCAAGAATGGTTTACATTTTATAATTTCATAAGACATTCTACTGCTCTCCAATTGTAATGTAGTACATATATTGCACTGAATAATAATAATATAATAATTTGTCTATCATTTCTTAATTTATGTGGAAGAATTAATTAAATTCTTTACAACTTTTAACATCGATTTGCTTGCATTCTATTTCTCCTCTAATGACGTTGAATCCGCTAGAAAATGGATTGCTTTTAGTATCAGTTTCTTTTGGTTACTTTAACCTTAATGCCTTCACATGGGCGAAGAATAATGTCTGGAACCATTTTAACATCAATCCTCTTTAAAACAGATTGGAAGTTATAGTTCATAAACAGTTTTGACAAAACAACTTTCTCCTCCAGTAAAGCAAACTTCTGGCCTATGCAATTTCGAGGACCTATGTAAATAAATTTAAAGGTTCGACTTTATGCCATTTCGAATTTTTAAAATTGCAACAATTTCAAGTAAAGTTACCTGCGGAAAATGGCACGTAAGCAAAGGGATTCCTCCCAGCCGAATTTTCGGGGGAGAAACGCATGGGGTCGAAAACTTCCGGGTCTGAAAACACATTTGAATCCCGGTGTAAAAAATAGTCAGCAACAGCAACGCTTATCCCTTTTGGGAGAATGTTTTCTCCTGCAAGAAAAAATGTCCACGTTATATGTAAAAAAATATGCAAAATGATGCTGATTTTAAATACCAACCAATTTTCACATCTTCAGTAAGGTGTCGAAAATAAAAGGGCACACTTGGCATTAGCCTTAACGTCTCTTTGACGCAGTACTCTAAATATTTCTTTAAATCAAATTGGCATTTATTTTAAACCGAATGTTAAATGCAGCATAATACTGAAATAATAAATTTATACCATTTTTGAGATATCTGCAGAAGTGACATTGCGATTTTTATCATTGCCAAATATCCCGTCAAGTTCTTCTTGAACTAATTTCTGGAATTTGAAACACATCAAGTCATTATCTTCTCCATATTATAAGAAACAACTACAATGTTACACACTACCTGGTGCACTTTATTTTCATTCAAAGATAGCATTAAAATCGTCCACGCCATATTAGCAGCCGTGGTATCATGCCCCTGTAAATTAATGTACTTATGTATATACGCCATGCATCATATTTGGCAGATAATTGGTATGTTGAAATATTTTCTATCTAAAATTGACAGAAAATGGATCATTTTTACCTCAAACATAAATGTGTCTGTTTCTTCTCTAATCTCCACATCCGTTAATGTGTTATTACCATCACCACCTTGTTCCGATAAATCCAGTAGCAGATCTAAAAATGCTTTTCGCTTCTCTAAAATTTAAATAAATCCGAATGTCCTTAATAATTCTAGGGTAGATTGCAATGCATTGTTAAATATTTATTAATACTTTGTGATACGCCAGCGTCAATATCATCGCTTACAGGTGGATTTGAATTTGTTTCCGACTGATTTTTTCTTTCAAGTTTCTTTTCAACTATGACCTAGACAAGTAGAATTACCTTAACCTATATATTTCATTACTTAAATATTTGCTCATTTATCTTTGTAGTTGCTACCTTATCAGTAAAAGAATGAAGCACTTTAATGTACTGCGCTTCCTGAGGTTCATATCCACACAATCTCCAAATCAAGCCTATTTGAAGCCAAGGCCTGGCAAACTTTTTCAGCAATATGTCACCGTATCTAATAATTTAATCATCATAATGTGCAAGGTAAGTTTTATTAAAGTGAATTGAAATACGCATTTATTTATTACCCATAAACCGCTTTTACGTATTCCGCATCTTTACCTTCTTGCAACTGGGCATTGAGTTTCTTTCCCATTGCAGTTTCTGGTAGTAAATATGTACCACCATTAATAACACAAGTGACAAGCTTGCCCTAATTAGTAATAATGCACAATTACAAAAATTATACCACATATTATATCCAATGCACATCTTGTCACGTATGGGAAAATATCAAGCGGTTTCCCATCTGCCTTTTGCTTCAAAATTTCCGTAAACACATTGGCTTGTTCATTAAATACGACAATAAACTCTTCCAGAATTTTGAAATGGAATGTTGGGGTCAACATTTTTCGGCGCCCATGCCATTTCTTTGCTAAAATATTATCAAACTCATTATGAGTCAGACATTGATATACTTATGTAATATGCATGTATGCACTATGTTAGATTTACGCTTAGCTGTTAAGAGACCAAGTCCAAGCCATCGAAAAAGTAAATCATATTCTCTGGATTTTTCAATATGTACAGATGACGATAAAATAGTCTGTTAAACATGTAAGATTATTAAAGTAAAGATTATATTAATTAAAGATTATTCTTAACTATTTAATGCAAACACGTACTTCAACAGATGATGCGTCAGCCAGTAGTACTATTGGTTGGTTCCCCATCCAAATAGTAAAAATAGGTCCAAATTTTTTGTACCAGGAAGTAATTACCTCCATCAATTCTATAATACAGACGATTTTTTAAATGAAAAGCAAGTTCAACGTATTTCAAATTAAGTCATACCATAATTAGGACGTACGAAGGACAGTGCATTGCCAAACACCAGGACTGTAGGAGGACTTTTCACGTTTTCAAGATATTTTGATTTTCTGCTGTCTCGTTTTGTTGAATAATAAATTATGAGCCCAAAAAGGAATGTGCTCACAAATTTCCAATTGTTAAGAAGCCAGGATATAATTTCTTGAAATAAACTCATTTTGTAATGCAGTTTTGAAGTTTGTTTGCAATCAACTGGTATAAATGATCAAATATATTTGTTGGATGACAATTATATACTGGTGAAAAGCGTTCGTATTGACAAACCTGAAGAATAAACATGATACACACTTGATTAACTATACAAGTTAAACTGTGACTCAGGGTCGAAGGTTAGCACTACATATCATTTGATAACATTACACACGTATGCAAATACTCATATTGCAAGAGTGTGCCATATGTACACACAGATATGCACAATTGCACATACATACATACATGTAACGACGAGGTAATGGGATCGTCTTAGAATATCACGGGTATTACAGCACCTCCAATATTAACAAGTATAATAAGTCATTGCAAGAAACTGATTTAACTCATCAGTGCTCAGTGGTGACAGCATTTATTGCAAATTTGTAATCAAACGTTGAATTATTAGACAGCAAAGCATCAAACGGGTACAACATATTTATTGGAATATGAGATCATTTGGGGTACTGTGTAACAAATATTTGATAACCCCAATTATCGCTATGATAATCCCACATTCCGCAACCTTAAAATTATAAATTAAAGGGTTTGTGGAATTCTGTCTTAAAATATCTTTAAATGATACCCCACATGTTATGATTGTTATTTTGATATTTGACGGTTTTTGTGACCTTCGAGGTCATCGCAAGCAAAAATGGCTGTGATTTCTGGAACCCCACCCCAAACAACAATGTCTAAAACCATCAAAACGTTCAATGTCGATATCATAGACCTTTGACCTCGTTTAGACGGTCAGGGGGTCACCGTAGGTCAAAACGACTTATCCCATTAGACTCTTTTAAAAGTACTATCACTTTGGCACCCAACATGAGTGTGTTGTAATTTAACATAATCATGGGCTGTGATCTGGCGCCGTGTCCTTATGAGCTATATGGTCAGTTAAAGAAATTAGCCTCCGCCCTCTAAGTTATGTCGCTTTAAAAATATAACTCAGAAAAGTTGACTCGTTGGAACGTCAGACAACCAACGGACAAGACGGATAAACCGTTTATATAAGGCTTTCGCAGCGAAAGCGAAAGTTTCGTTACTCAACGTAATAAATGTTATCATGCTCATGTAAATTCTTCAGTAATTCTTAACTCAAAAAATCACCTCCTCGCTGGACAGAATATACTTATTTACGCAGGAGATCAACCTTTGACCCACAGAACCAAAGATTTTGATGTATCAAAATCTGTGATTATAGGATTGTCCTCCATAATCACACTGGCCGAGCGTAGCTGCCTGGTATTACTAGTGTAAATATATATTTAAATGTAGAATAGTTTTCATTTAATTATTTATTCGCTGACTGAAAGAATAAGCGGGTTCACAGGATACATAATTGATTCACGTTCATGTGCAGCGTTCTTGTGGCATCATTATCTAATGATGTGCATAGATACATATGTAAATACATAGATATATATGTAGCAAAGATAATTGTGTTATACGTGCATGAAAGTACTGTTTATTTACCTTTGCATCATCAGTTACATAACATGTTTGTGCCCGCAGTACAAAGATAATTTAAAATCTACCACAAATTAAGTCGCATACTATCATTGGATGGAATTTAATAGATTGAAATGACAATAAGTGAGAAAGAAGGACCCTTTAAATTGAAGTTTTGCTACCATTAGAATATCAATGAATTAATCACGTGTCCAAGACAAAGTATTCTGTAATGATAAAGTGGAATTACTTATCTTTGACAAACCGGCTAAAACCACTAGACTTTCAACCAAATAGCTATCTGAATTTTCAAATATTTGTTTTATCTATAGGTTAGATGCGTAATTGCGTATGTGTTACAAGTATGTACTACACCCAAAACTAAACTGTGCCAATAAAATTGTCCCTGGAGGAGAAAAAAAGGAAATTAAACATTTATCAAACATCTGCTTACATAGCTCTCATAAGAGTTTAATATTTTATACGTCACTCAGCCGCATCTGATTGCATTTATAAGCTGCCCTTTTAAATTAAAGAGTGATAGATCGACAAATGATTGGGTGCATGGTTGATTATTACAACTAAAGCTGAAATGGTAGAAAAGGGTCCCGATTTAAAATAGAGTCAAGCACAATTGCCCTCTCTACCCATCCAAACTCTGAAATTGTGGAGTCGATACTCCATTTTGACAATCTAAGCTTGTATTTCGATCAGATCTGGTTGAATGATACACATCAAAGAAGGACGAGCAATACATAATGGTAAATGGTACTCTATCTCTATCTATATTATATGAATTTCAAATTTAGTTTTTCGGAACTTTTGTCAGGGTTGATGTTTCATGTAAAAGGTTCAGCAAAATGCAAATACTTATTAAAGATCCATTGGTAAAGAGCGTGGCAATACAAGCCCGGAAATGAAATCTGGAGAACCAACTCCACATGTGAGATCAGTATGAGATCATCACATTGTTATACGTATTTATATGTGTAATTATTTGAATATCACAATATTTCATAGATTTATGAGTAGTATAACCACAAAAAACTGCATTATTATTCAGTTTATTCGAATTTGTTTGTAGAGAAAAATATATGTACTTCAACTCAAATATAAATATTATTTGCAAGTTGCTGACTAAACTTCATAAATGCCCTACTAATTTTAAGTAGTGTACCAGCGAACTCCGCTAACTCCGTATCCCTCTTTTTGGAGTATATTACTAATACGAACACCAATTTCAATATTTGAGAACTATTTACGTGTGTAGTTGGTGGGGTGGGGACGAATTTAAAGAGCTGCTGCAAGTCTGTCGAGTACTAACTATTCAGCTTGTAGATATAGTGCGACTTGGGAGTACTCTCACCCTAGCATCGCAACTGACCCTGCATTAACCCAGAGGGAGAGACCCTTCAGATCCTGAAGGGGAGGCAGAATCTAATAAAAGCAACGCACCAAATCATTATCCACCCCCCTACATCGCAGTGTTCTTTCCGAGCATCTGCTACAGCGAACCTCGAATGTTGTTGTGGGAGTCAAAACTTTCCGGCTCAGTTCTCTCTCTGCCTCCCGTTCGGTTGGTTCCAGCAGCGTCTCTCTCCAACTTCGCGTTGTCCTCTTTTACTCCATTTCATCATGATACTTCTCATTTTGCAGTGATCCAGTTATTAAAAAAATAAAACAACCCTTTGAAGAATTTATGTGCTCACTATTTAACATTTCTGAACTTGAGACCTAAAGAAATAAAAATTCGGGTAACTAGTGTATGTGCGAGGCAACTGTTACATATGTAGATTTGCATATAAGCATAGTGTAAAGTTTACGTGCATAATTATTTGTGTACTTAAGTGTACAAAATGGAAGAAGAATTAAAGTGTGCCGTTTGTAAACAATTATTCGCTAACCCTGTCCTTCTTCCATGTTACCATTCAACATGTCTCAACTGTGCGGTGCAAATCCAATCCCCTGTCCACCAACAATCCCTCCCAGCCACGTCCAACACGAACCTAAATGGTCACCATAGTCATGTATCTACCACCAACTTTCACGGTCATTCCCACCATATTGTCATCACCACTGCCACTGTTCACCACAATAATAACAATGGGTCGACCCCACTTCACCAGAACCTGCATCACAATCAAGGTCATCACAATGAAAGCAATAGTGTCAACAGTTTTCGTGCAGATAGTGACAAATCCTCAACAACGTCCTCCACATCCTCGCAAACCAGTGGGGGCGAAGACTCGTCTGACAAAGTTTCCGTTTTGTCCGAGACTGATTCTGGTGTCGTCATTTGTTCAAATTCAAGTCGACCCAACAGTTATGTCAGTTCGCATAACATGCACGGTCTCCTCTTTCCTCCCATCCAGTCCACATCCTTTTGCTTATCGTGTCCAGTCTGTCATAAGACTGTGTATTTTGATGAGAACGGAGCTCACAATCTACCAAAATATAGAGTGATGCAAAATATTGTTGACAGGTGAGATTGAGTGACAATATATACATGCATGCGTATTATTCAAGGGGCACATATGTACGAAAACTCGTACTTGTTACATTATTGATGCCAAAATAGCACAGAAATTTCTGAATTGGTATCCATAAAAAGAAGCGGTACAAGTATCGCGAGTATTGGTACGGATTATCCATCGGGTGTGGTGGTTTGAAGCTGATAATTTATATGATCTACCAAGCACCTCTTGTGCTTCTTTCTTGGAAAAGATCTATGTAGCCTGTCAGTGTTGCATGCAAAATCATGTAGTATTTTAAACAACTGTAGTGAGCACATGGTCATACTTTTCGAAAAACCATCTTCATCCCATGCAAGGGATCATGTACGGGAAATTATATAAATAATGGCATCCATAAATCCAACGACCAGGATTCAATGACAGTCAGTTTGATGATTTATTTTCAATTTCATTCCAGATACATCGAGTCCCGGAACCTTGGTACGAAATGTCAAATGTGTGAACGGAGTCCAAAGTTAGCAACAGTTATGTGCGAACAGTGTGAGATTTTTTATTGTGACAAGTGTCAGGCAAGTTGTCATCCTCAACGTGGTCCGTTGGCAAAGCATTCACTGGTTAACCCAACTCAGGTACCCGTTGCAAATTCACATAGTAAATTGTCTGTTACATGAAATTAAGTATTCGTGTTGGACTATAGAAATTAATTATTATGCATTTTCACCTCAACTCAGGGAAAGGTTGTGCTAAAGGAGAAAGCTGGACCGCTGGACTATTTCAAGTGTCCGGACCATTCCATGGAATCGCTCAACATGTACTGCATGCTGTGCAAAGTTCCTGTTTGCATTGGATGTCTTCAGGATATGAAGCACGCGGATCACGATGTCCAACCCATTCAACACATGAGCAAAGCTCAGAAAGTAAGTTAAAGGCCAGAAGTTCTTCTTTCGCATGTAATATGCGTCTACATAGATACGTAAAAATATGTAGTGCGTAGACGCAACCTAGTACATCCCATCAATTACTTTTCAAAAGAGAAAGCTATTCAATGCATAAAACTAGGAGAAAGTCATGATATCGCGGGACCAAAATGGTGGAGAAAGTAGTAGCAACAAATGTGGAGAAAGTTGGCGCTCATTATTCAACCAAGGCACGATTTCTTCCATGACAGATTTATTAGCCTGGTGGACAAAGAGTAGTCCGGAGAAAGTGGTGCCGGCCTGAGTGCGTTGTTAGATAGTCCTCCTTTTCGTCCTCATATATTTATTTACTCTGCCACATTGTTGTGACATGACTTACTTCTTTTTTGGGGGTCACCTGTCAAACTGTAAAAATGTCACTCCAGTTTGGACTCTATATATGAAACAAGGGGAAAACGTGCCATCGTATTGTCTTATACTTACATTATTCCCAGCTGAATTTCATGCCTTAAATAGCAGTCATTTATATTCGGTATTGAGTACTCGGCATGGCATTGCAGATATCAAATTTAATATGAACTGACGAATTGCAAAGGTTCCTATATAGTTCCTCTACAACATTATTTTGGAAGAAGGTAGTTGCGGAAGAATGATATGAAAGTCCAGAAGGTCCTCTATTCTCGTGTCAATAAAAATCGTTGAAAGTAAGATTCAATTTGTTTCGTGTCATAGCCTATCGAGACACATTTTCACACCACTTCACCACATTTAACTTGTGAACTTTTTGAGACGTAGTGCGACAAAAGTCAAATAAATGTTTTTTTTGCAATTTCGATACAAGGGGTACAAAATGCTATGGGTTATAAAAAAGTCTTTAGTAAAATGTATTTCGAATATTTATGTATAGAAATTTTGTAGCGTAATGGGGCAGACTAATACTAAAATAAGCATGTAAACTGCAAATAGTGAATGCACTGTAATCATGACACATTTATGCACATGCATACCCATGGAATCCAAAGAATGGGCCCACAATTGTACCATCATCGAACGAAAGAAGAATGCGAATAAGCGTATGCCAAGATTTTGTAATGCAATCGTCCTCCAAAATTTGTCATTCAAATATGAAACACCGGGGCACAACCAGCGATGAATAGGTCTCGTGTAATCCAGTCTTGCTTTCAAAGTTTAAGACCCACACGTGTCGCGTTCAGCCGTTCGAGCAGGGGTACCTGAGTCATCCCGCTTTGCACATATGCTTAATAGCCACATTGCAGCCTTGCCCCTTTGTCCCTCAAAGGGCTGGGTGTAATAATAATACAAAGAAATGCTGGATCTCCATGCAGCCGAGGCAGACTCTTTATTGCTTCTCATCTCGTCCCTTAACCTCATCTTCTTTTCTAAATTATTCAACATGATGTAATGTAATCTGATGCACTTGGGTCCAGCCGGTGTAAAATAAATGCTGATGGTGATCCTGCCATACTCTTTGCAGTAAAAAGATATGATCACCATCAACTAGCAAACAAAAATGAAATCCTGCTGGCATACTCCAGTCAGGCTCCTACTTGCATTCATTCAAATTGTTTAGTATGTAAGCCAGCAGGCGCCGGTTATACATACCTGGAATTTCTATTCAAAATTTCTTTATCTAAAAACTGGACCTGCTTTTTACCACCAGAGTAACATTGACGCTCGTCCTTGTTCATGATGACGCTGGAATTAGCTATACTTTACTAGACATCGGGACTTGTTAGCATCAGCAACATTTCAATTGGTCGTAAAATTAATGCTCCTAAAAAGTTGTAAAAGAAGAAAGTTTAATGCTGAACATGTCATTTAAGATTCAAATAGAGATTGTTGCAGTACAACAGCACTACTACCGAATTCTTTCAAATAGTAAAAAGTGGAATTAAATGGTTAGGTGGAAACCGTCGGTTTTACAATTAAATACCTCCCAAGATGATCTCAGATAAATTGTGACATTTAAAAAACGACTGAATTATTATCTAAAAATGAGAAAGTTCTAGTGGTATATGTACAACTGTTCAATGGGGATGAAGAATCACCAAGTTCAAAGATGTGAAAATTAATGCGCACATTATATCTGCTATTATTTGTACAAAACTTTAAATTACACATTATTTATGTATGAATAAAAATGTTCTATTCTAGGTTAGCACTAATCATAAGCAGTATACTTTAACACTCGGAAATTTCGAAACACACACAAATAAACACATCTTAATAAACATCCCAAGAATAGTTTGGAAATTAAAGGAATTTTGGATACTTGTTATTCATGGACCAAGTCCAACTTGCCTTGTTTACTAAAGTTGAAGCACATCCAAGATCCAGCAGATACATAAATCTCTAATTGTATCGGATTCTGAACCAGTTGCTACAAATTGATTGTGTTCATCTATACGTATTGTACCCACAATGTGCGTGCACAGAGTTCCCATTACGTATTCCAGGCCGAAATACATTTCCAGCACTCTTTCCAATTTGTGAAAGTTAAGCTTTCTTTAAGGAGAGGATGTGGAGGCAAGGATGAGATTGTTAGTCAGCTCATTAGACGGTCTCCATTATTATGGACCATCACTTCAACGCAGTCTTGAGTGTGGAATGGGATTGGCCTCAAAATAATGAAGAGTAACTAACCAACCAACAGTTGGTGGATGAGCAAGAATGAAATGAAGAAACTTTTGCGAAGAATCTGAGGAAGGAGGATGTGGATGGGATGTAATAGTTGATAAGGATCAATCTAATCAATCCCCAGCTTGCTTACAGTTCGCACCAACCAAGTTTCGCTTTATCAACTGCGACGAGGAAGGCACGAAACAGGATAAGCCAAATATATCCAGGAATTCTGTTCCATTGGTATCCGCACAAATCTTAATCAGAGAAGTCGTTCGGGGGTGTGATTTTGTTTAATGAGTTTGATGAGATTGGGAATTGGTACATTCATTGATCAACCGTGCCTAGCATCTCCGTTGTGGGAAATGAAACCCAAGACCGTACGGTGGCTCGTATTGTTACAATCATCTTCATTTTGTCATGGAATATAAAGTCTATATACACAAGAGCTCCTAAAGGTATACATAAAATTACCCTCAAAGCACTTGGAGTATACTGTCAGTGGCCTGAATGAAATACGCGAAGTATGAAATAGTGTGTTCCTCTGAAGTGATACTAAAAGATCCATTTACATTACACACATTTTCAATTTAGCAAATGAATAGGAGGTTTGCCAATTTGGCAAGTAGAGCAGGAAGTTTATTAGGCAAAAGAATAAAGAAGGACTCGTATTACACTTGCTAGATAGATACATTAGTATTACATAAATATATTTTCAATGCGAGAATACGACTGCCCACAATATACGTACTTAAAGTGGAGTACATAAGTATTCTAATGTTGAAACACTAAAGCTAAAGTTGTGCTCAAAGAATTATGATAATATATACAGCACTTTGTATAAATAATGTAATATAGCAACATGATATATATTGCATCCTTTTCATCCTTGAAATTAGTTGAAATGCTCAGTTAGTACCATCCACAGGTAAAACCTCGGGTTAAGATCAAGGTAGTTTGACTTTGTGAATATATTTCAATTTACTACAGGCTACAAAATATGGAAAATTTAATCACGTTGAGAAATGTGTACGCAGTACGCACTGCTTATGTAAATTGGTGAGATGAAAACTATACTTACATTAAAGTTCAAAAAGGCTGGAGGTGTTAATATATCGATAAATTTAAGTACGCACATTCCACTAACGTATTACATGCTATTTTTGCTATGAGAGGTTATAAAAAATTGAGACGACTTGCTTTTAATGAGTTTAGCTCCACACGATGACGAGTGAGTAGGCCGTAAAACCGTGCATACGCTGTTTTCACATTCGCTCATTGTCAACATAAATCGTTTCCCAGTTTTTGCTTGACTTTGAACATCTCTTTGAACATTCAAATCAGCACTAAATCAAGCTGGATCAACAAAAGGTCAAAATGAAAAGTCTTCATTTACAGAATCAGTGAAAGCCGGCCAAGTGTTTTTACAGCGGAGAAGAAACAACTTGACTCGGGATAAATATTCGCTCTGGACTAAATGAAAGAGATTTTTTGCGATCAAATGAGCGAATTGTGTTGGAATAGTGGAGAGACTCGACGTGCAGGGAGATGAGAAATCCAAGTTGGAAACAAAATAAAATAAACGACTCCGTGCATACAATGAGATCGCCCCAGCCAGCACCCTTCCTTCCACCATGAACTACTGAAGAGAAAATAAGTTTACCAAATCAATGAGGAATTTTGCTTCACTTTATTTTCCAAATTCCTTTGAAAGGTTCTCAGAGTTTGGTCTGTGTCCGCCGCTTCCGAAATATCGAAGATCACGAGAATTTCAATTCTTTCATACCATCCGACTTGTGCAATCAAGACTACGTCAAATTCTCAGTAAAGAATAGAAACTTTTGTTTCATGCAAATTTCCGTTTCATTAGTTTGAATTGTGGAGTAGAAACTGACAGATCAAATATCTCAGCTCATTCATCTTCACTCTTTCTTCTTTCCACGAGCAATATTCTGGTTCAAACTTTTTCAGGACATTACAGCGAACTTCTTTATCGTAATTGTTTCTCCATTATATTCTCTTACACATGACCAAGTTCAGATCAAGATGTGTGTGCGTAGAGGAAGTTCAGGTTTTGGTTATTTTGGTACTTTCCTCTATAACAGGAAAAGTAAGAATGTTGTAAGTAATTTAGCATTTTGGTATGTCGATTAGAACGGGTGTATTTAGTAATAGGATTTATATATGTACGCATGTTTGCTGCATGTACATATATTTTCACTGTAAAAGCGATTTTTATACGGTAAATACATTTAAATATTTACTAGTTAATTTGTACAAAAAATTGCTAACATAATATCTATCAAACAAAAAAGATTTTGCATTTTCAAGTTCTTTCTAGCGAAGTAATCGTTTGAACA